GGACAAGAAGAAGCATCAAAAGTTCCACTTTGGAGAATAAAATAAGTGAATACATTATGTAATGGCGAAAACAGCCGACAAAAGAAATAATCTGCTGTGAATCATGCAGAAGGAGCATAAACAAGGAGCTGAGCAAATGTTTCAAATTAATGTGAAAATGGGTGGAAAGGATCCGAGGCGGAGGATGGTTGGAATGTGCCAGAAAAAACATCACAAAGATTGTAGAAAAAATCATAATTTAATAAAGTCTGGGCGAATATGAAAATGTACAGGAGCTTTTGCTTAAATGCTCCATTACGAACCTCCGAGCTAGACTTGACTTTTTACTCATATACATATTGTGTACAACAATAATATATATTTAATAAAATGAAATATTCTCTCTTTTGTTAAATTAATATTTGTCATATTCCTACAATTCGTCAAGGAGTCTTTGTTTAAAATTCACGTCGCTTCACAATTCAAAAAAATTAACAGTGGTTTTTCTGTCCTGTTTAAATAGAAAACTCCTCTCCTCTTGGCATGCAGAGCAAAAGCTCATTTTGAGCTTCATTGCGAGACCACAAAATACATAATTTATCAAATTGGAGTTTTATATGTCTCACTTAGTGAATATTTTACTCATTTTTATGCTCTTCTAATATACAGAAAGACTTTTTGATTTAATAAAGAACCTCACGTTGCGCTTTTATAGTCCTTTCTCTGAGATATTTTACTGAATTGAAGGGATGATTATTTTATTACTTCACTGATGAGTTAAGTATGCAAGATAGGGAAAATCTCGAGGTCTTTTGTTTTTATTTTGGTTGTACCACTTATGATCATTATTTTGTGATTCTGTGACAAATTTTAAAGGTACTGATAGCTTTGTGTGACATACTGTAACAATGGTGAATGCACATATAGCTTCAGTCATACTCTCGCTTCTGTTGGCCAAATAAATGCTGGTCATCTGTATCATTATGATGGTGCACAAAGCATTGCATTGTGGCATGCAATCCCGACAATAAGTTATACCATGTGAGTGAATTTTCTCGTGGTGAATCTGGAAATTGCTGGTAAAATGAGAAAAGTACATGGACAAATGGTTGGCAGTTCATGGAATGGTAGTGAAATTACGCCATTATCTCGATTCTTAGCAATTGCGACTCCCATTGTACGTTAGCTAAGGGCTGAATTCCTCCAAGACGACATCCCATTGAGCGAGTGAGACAAATTCGACTTTATGTTTTCGTTTTTATCAAAGGGTGTGGAATCGTGGCGAAGAAGAAGCATAAATTCCGCCATTATACTGCTATACGTTATTCGAGAAAGTACTATAAAGCCACCACGGATTGCATAGCAAAAGCCAGTGGACAATTTTGCAATCTGTGGTACATCGCGGGCAAGAAGGGAGGGCTGTCCTGGGAATTCTTGTTCAAGGATTCTCGGGATTCTTTATTCTTCTCGTTTTCTCCTCTCTCGATGCTGTGAAATGCATGGATTCAAAGAGGACAATTGATGGTGCAATTGTCCTTCATTTACTGGTATTATGTACGATATCACGGCTCTCCTTATGCACATATGTCTTGTGGTCCAGGGATTTTGATGGCATGAAATGGCACAAATAGCCTGATTTCTTGCTTCTGAGAAATGAAATTACTTTGCACGAAGCTTCAATATTCATCAGATACACTCACTTTTCGTAGAAATTGCTGTGAATATCGGAGATTCGAGGATGGATGACTGCGCGCTAAATTATGTATGTGGCATATAAGTGGCTCTGATGGTGAATCAGGTGCGATATTGGAATTGTGTATTATTTTTTCAATTTTTCTCCCCTCTGCCACGGGAAACTCCCGCGAGCTTTAAACTTTCTCAGGAGTTGAGTTTACTCTCGAGTGAGCTCTTTTACCTCTCATTGTCTTCACTAGAATGATGATTGATGGTGGAAATATGATGCTATCTTTGGGCTGTATTTCAGAGCCACTTTCCATTCCTTGCCAAGAACAATCACATCAATACGGATCTAGCGTATAATTATCGTATTTGAATTTGTAGCTTAACCATCACATTATCAACAAAACCTTTGATCTAATACTGAAATGTGCGGCGAGGTAAATTTGCATATACCTCATAATTATCCTCCCCAAATAGATGATTCTATTCACGTTTACCTTTCGTTGAGTTATCGCACAAAATCAATCAGATTGTATGTTGAAAGCAACAGATTATTATGAACGTGTACTTTTGGGACGTACACTAATGAATTTACACCAAATTATCAATTGAATTCCCCGAGGAACATGAAACAACTTACTAATGATAATTCAATCATAATTCATTGTCAATACTCTTAATTGATGGAATACATTAGATGAATTCTTTATTTAATTGCTTTTCCAACTTAAATTTTGGTTTGGGAAATGAGCATGATGTCATGAATAATATCTTTCTCCCACAACCACTCTACGTGGTCAGGATCGCCAGAATACAGAATAAATAATAATCTCTTGAGGTGGTTTATGGTGAATACAATGCTGAGTGGTAATGCCTAAGGACACCGGTGAAAAATGACTCTCCTCATATGTGGTGCGAAAGTGCCAAAAAGGACAACGCAGATATAGTAATAATGAAAAGAGAAAATGAGAATTTCGGCGGTGGTTGGCTTAATTACGTTTTTGGAATGGTGCACAAGGTGCCATAGACAAAGAGTAGTGCTCCCAACTGAGGTGAAAAGTCCCAAAGAGTTGGAGAAATATTCATTGGATTTATGACTATGGGAGCAGAGCAAGGTCGTATCTGCAAAACATCACTTTATCTCCCAAGAGTGTTTGTAAAATTTCGCAGTTCAGTCTCATATGGGAGTACAATATTCCAGTTGACTTTCCAACCCTACTTCGCAAACAATACAATAAATTAGTTACGTGGCTCTGAATCTCGTGTTTTGGGATGCAAATCCTAAAGGACGGAGTGGAGCAATTGCTAGATAGAAGATGCATCGAAGAGAAGGGAATATTTGAGTGCAATTGAGCTCAAAAAACAAATATTTCTTAGTCGCTGTGAGGAGAAATATTAGTCCAAAGTCAAATGAGATTCTTCACCTGTAATTTATTCCCACTTAGAGTATAAATTACTGCAAAATAATATGTGAAATTATATGTGCGAACCAAATTCGTGCATTTTATCATCAACTCTGTTTACCGAGCATAAACTCGTATTGCAAACATTATTAAAAGGATTCTTCTCTTTTCCCAATTTTACCATCACGCATTAAGCACAGTTTAGTGTTTTTGAGCGTTTTGGGGGATTTTGTCAACACCACAGTGGTTTTTGTCTTTATTTCTCTACACCAAAGCGTTTTATTTTGCTCTTTTTTGCATGCTCAATATCTGGAGATATTTTCCTATTGTCGCACTGCGCTTCTGCCCATCAGCATATTTGTGTTAATCCCAGGAGAAGTTATGACTTGTGGACAAAAAGGCAGTCAGCAGTTCTCAAGGATGTCCCTGAGAAAAAGGTAAGGAATGTGTATCATCTTAAAAGTTTGTCGTCAACTGGGTGAGTTTCAAATGAGTATGCTAAAGTGGAAAAAGTCCATTTAGTTAGAAGAATGTATACACTGTTGTGATACTGAAATGAGAAGATGAGGGAAATTTGTGTTTTTATCCTATGGCAGAATATAGTTGAAAGTTTCAAGATTAAGACATAATATTTAAATCGCATGCCGACTCTCTCGCCTCCTTGAGGCAGCTCAACGCATTCGCTGTGGGAGACGGTGGTCCAAAAGTTTATTTATTCTTCATGTTTTTCGGTCTTAGCATACCCTTGTGAAGGTGTGGGTGGGTCGAGAAAAAGATGAGAAATGTAAGACTGAAATTGTATCATGGAATTTCCTGGGTTTGCCTCCTCTTTCGCGTCTTTCCTTTGGTCCACCCTCGCCAAATATCAAATGCGTCACAGAAGCACCAATAAATTTGGCGAATGGAACAGCTGGAAGAGGCGCGAGCAAAAAATTGGGTCATATTTATTCACTCTTATCACGGAATCGTTTAAATTTTGTATTATTACATTTTTCGCTTCACACGGATTACAATTATTAATTTGTATACACAGCACTGGAGTGCCCACAGTCGTAGAATTTCGATGGGGGGATTCTTGAGCACAATTCTGTGGCAACTTTTGAGCACTTCGAGTATCTCGTCAAGAGGGTGAGAAATGATGTGACTCTCTTCTCTTTGGGTGTTTTCTCGCTTCACAAAGAGGAGAGAAAAGACGGAAATACGACAATGTATGTTCGACAATAAATATTTATGTTAGACGATGTTTCGTTGAGCCTTTTTTGGGTAAGATTTCTCAACACTTGAGAAGCATTGTTCGCATTGGAATATGTACACGGTATATTGTTTCACATATCATCCGAGACAGACAACATTCTTGCTTTGCGAACCATTTCTGAGTAATTAATTAGTATTATTTAATGACAAAAGGTCAAATTACTGGTTGACTAATCATGGGGAAAAAATGCTTGAACAGATAAGATAATTAATTATCAATATTATTGATACCTTAATTTTCTTTTCGCTGAATATTTCACATCTTGAGATACTTTGCACATTGCTTTCGGCACTAAATAAAATTTTGAATAATAATTAATCATTAGAAAGCTTTTATAAGTTACTCCCATTATAATTTTTCATCCCTCCTCTGTTTACTTTCTTTGCAATGAATAAAAAACTTGGGAATCTCCGCGGAGGGAGATCATGGTCCCTTGGCACGAATCCAAGTGAAAATACGAGGAAATGTACTGAGAAAAAATTAGGCCAATCGAAAGAGAAAGTCTGAGAATTTTCGTTAGTGCGTCATTGAAACCTAAGCAGTGCATTCTCATGAAATTCAGTAGATACTTATGGATTAAGCTCACATCTTTACACAGCACAAGTTGAGTAATTTAATTTTATGCCCGTCTAGAGATAATTTACAAGAAATATTTCAACTGAAACTTCTTGTTATCTCATTTCAATTTGTGGGGATGCGCCTGAACGACTGAAGTGTTCTCAAGTTGACTTTACTTCGGGTCAAGACGTTATCAAATAATATTCAGTACAAGTTTAGAAATCATGTTATTGCGCTCGTTCGCTCCATTGAATTAATACTCTAAAAGTAACTTTGAGGCTTCTACGTGAAATTAGGCTTTTTCTGTGGGTTCCAGAATACGTGTAAGTCGTGCAAGTGATTATCTGAGAGGAACATGAAGTGATGTTGATTTACAAAAGTTTGTCGAAACAGTTGTACGTCTGAGGAAGTCTGTAAAGTCGTATTCAATTTCTTCAAATGCGATTTTTTCTCGAAGAGTGAATTGGTGAAAAAGAATGTTTTCTCGTTGTTGAGAATTTATGTGCTTTTGCCTGATATTTCAGTAATACCTCATTCCTATTCTTCTCGCTCGGAGAGATTTATACGACGTATTTTTCAAGAGGCAATTCATTGCAAGAGGCAATGTGAAATCTGATTTTTAGACTCCATCTTAGGTCACTGTGAGTGAGCCTTATTCTCACGATTGGAATACCTTCTCTAGACGAGAGAACTGCCATGGAATTTTCTATATTGTATGTAAACTCCCCATCCTCGAGCTATTGATTTACACGAGTTTATTTGCTCTTTAGAGACTTTCATGCATATTTTTACCATTCCAGGACAAGGATAATATTCCCTTTGGCTGCAGTTCTTGGAATCTTCCACTGTGGTGATGCTGTCAGGATTATTAGTCCCAAGGAGAGAGAAGCTATGGAGAACATCCAGAAGCAGTACTTTGTGCACGAAAGTCACTTCAATGGAACGTATCTGGAATTTATACCGAATGCGCTGCGTTTTGATCTTGCGGCGGTTCTGTCGTTTGAACTGCGATTGAAAGCAATCGACGCAGAAGGACTGAAGAAGATTCAGCAGCAAGCTATCGGCGAGGATAATCTTAATACCATGATTCTGAACAGGAATCTCACGAATTTGAGAGGACGCACCCCCTTTGATGCAGCATTGACTACACTGGATTTATCGGGAAATCAGATCCAGCAAATAGATGCGGATGCATTTAGTGGATTAGAGAAGCTGGTGCGTCTGCATCTCGAGGAGAATCACATTTCACACCTGGCAGACGGTGTTTTCACTCCCACCTGCAATCTGAAACACCTGCGACTGCAAAGTAATAATATAGACAAAGTGGAGGCTATGTGGTTTCCGGTGAATTCCAGCGTGGAGGAGTTATTTCTCAGCCACAATCGTATTTCCCATTTATGTGAAAGATGCTTCGAGAACTTGTCAAACTTGAATAACTTGCACCTGGCAGAGAATCATCTGCAGACACTCCACGAGGAAAGTTTCAGGGGTTTAACATCACTCAAGTATTTGATCTTGAGGCGGAATATCATTGAGAGTCTCCCACTTGATGTCTTCAGGGGACTCACGCAACTCACTCACCTAGAGTTGCAAGGGAATCTTATTGAGACTATTGATCCGAGGACTTTCAGGACGAACGACAAGCTCTCAGGATTGATTCTTAGTAATAATAGACTCACATGTCTTCATCCAGATACTCTGCAGCATCTCAGAGCCCTTCAAAACGTTGACCTCAATGAGAATCGACTTGTTGAATACAATTTCGGCAGCATTCACACGCAGACTATCAGACTCACAGACAATCACCTGCGAGAGTTGCAATTTAATCCCAATACAACACACATCAAGGCCGAAAACAATCAAATTGAGAGAATCCTGGTGCCCATCTCCTTTCAGCTTTTCGATTTGCAAGTCGGTGGCAATAAAATCCGAGATTTAAGCAACATCACCACCATCTCTACCCTCCAGGCCCTCTATCTCTCCCGGAATGGGATTACCAGTCTCCCGGAAGATTTTCGCAAGCTCACGCGACTCACGTTTCTGGATTTGTCATACAATAACCTGACAAATTTATCCTTTGGCTCTTGGCGGAGGAATTTCACGATGGCTTCGTTGAACGAATTGAGGATAAATGGCAACGATTTCTCACATCTCCAGTTGGATTTTCTGGATTTCTTTCCAAACCTCCAATTCCTGTATATATGTGAAAATCCTTGGAATGACACTTTCCTGAGGGAATTTATCACCCAATGCAGTAGTCGAAATATCTCATTGATTGACTCTAATTGTTCATATTAAAAGTTTTCCAGTGTTACTTCAGTGTAATTTATTTACAAAATCAATTTATTTGCACAATCCAATCTATATCATCATGTCAATTTAAATACACACTATCCTTCAGATGCGCTACACTTTTTACCTACTTAACATTCAATTCTAGAACGTGAAGCTTAGCCTAAATTGAGCTTTTCGCATGTGAAACAATAACTAACCCATCCATCCTCTCTATGCACGTAACTAATTTCATCCCTAATCACGAAACATGACGGGAAAATCGTCTGTGAAATTTAATCAAAGGTCAGACAACCGGAAAATTTAATTTATTTTACAAAATAAACATAGATTAATTGGCTAACAAGGAATGCAGTTCATATATGTAAAACTCACTGTGTGTAATGAAAGTGAAAATAATATGTAGTTATACAATTTAAAAGTTCCGGATTAATTGTGTAATTGCATAATCAATATTGATTGAAACACCATCAGCAATAAAATATGATAATTTTATATTCGTATTTAACCCTTCCGCGACGACTGGTTCAGTGTGATAAGATTGATTTACTTCCTGTTTATGTATTAATTACATAGATTTTCAATGCTCAATTTTCTTGGATTCTCATTAATTCTGAATCCAGTTTAAGATTAAATATATTTATACCAAAAACTGCATTTCAAACAATATGTAAAGATCAACGGAAATTCGGATTATGATTCTTAATACATGTCATTAAGAATGCCGGTCAGTAGCTGAATAACTACGAAATTCAGTTAGATTTTGCAGGCGATTTTCCCCCGACAGCAGGAAGATGATTGACAGTCTTGAGAAATTTCAGATGGGATTGCTCAGAGGAGGGATCAGCTGAGGAGTACACATACACGATGGGGGGAGATTGTGGGATCAAATTGCGGTCACATGACCCGATTGCTCAGTGTGGCATCGACAGGGTGAGGATTGTGAAAAAGGAGAAGAAATGAGAAAAGAATTCCAATTAGAGCCCATCAAATCTGAGTTAAATCCCCCGCCACTCATTAATGTTTCAATGGTCGATGAGAGGATATGAGTGGATTGGAGCTAAATATCAGCTTCCATGAGGGCGCTTGGCGTGTGAATTTGTACAGTGACGGTATTCTCCACCTTCACCCCAACAGCCTCACCCTCCGCGTCCACGGCCAGTCGAGTATCATTTGTCGCCGGGGAGATTTTCTGCTCTGACTCCACCGCAATGGCATCTGCCTTGTCCTCAGACTTGCACGGAGCATCCACCTCGACGGCGTCAATGGAATCTAGACCCTTGGGCACGGCTTGGCGCGGGGTGGCCGGAGTCTCATTAGGGGGCTCCGTGTCAACGTAACCCAGGACAAAGGGCAGCTTGAGGCACACCTCCCCGCCCATCCCGCTCAGCGTGAGCTTCACCTTCACGTAGTACGACACGTAGATGGCGAAGACATTGCGGTCCTCGTGCGGTCGCAGCTCCATGGGTGAACTGGGAGCAATCTTGGCACTCTCACTCCACACATTCGTGTCGTTTGAGGTGTTGAAGAGTGCGCCCTCGACCGCGATCCAGTTCTTCGTTGGAGCGCGCATCGGCAGCAGGAAGTAGGTGTTGTGTAGGAACTCTCCCGGACCCAGCTGGTTGTTGAGACTCACATCAGCCACGACGTTCTTGAACTTACCGTTGCTGAACATGCACACGTCCACGTGCTGCACAGCGAAGATCTGGAAAAAGAGAGGGAAAACGGCTGGTGAGCAGCCCACGCTCTCGCTGAAATCAATCAATCGATGAGGGAAGTTGCTCTCGGAATCAGCAAGCGGCACACTTTGGTATAATTGTAGATATGACAGGAAAGTTTTTACATCAACACTCAGCTCCTTTCAGTCTATTTTTAACATCGGAAACATTCCCACGAATTCAGCGCTAAACCTTACAACAAAGTTTGTCTTACAAAGAGCTCACACCTCTTCTGACAAAGTTTGCAAGAATCGATGATTGGGCTATGCAATTACGTGGAAATTTCAAGAGAAAATTGGAAAGTGCCATCAGTGAAGAGAGTTCTTGGGTGAAGATTCTGCACTGCGCTTCCCTTTCCTCTTTGTAATTCAATTTTTTTTTATTATATACCAAAATCAACTTTTCCCAAACTATTCTACTAAAGTAGAACTACTTTGTGAAAAGTGGAGTTGAATTACTTTTAATAATGTTTTTATGTCCTCTAAATTGAATCACATCTGAAAATGGTGTGCAATTAGGCAAACCAATTAATATGAAACCTCGATGCAAAGCATTTACCAAATTTCAATTCCAAGAGGAAGAATTACTTTTAATTAAAATTCTCCCTCAATCTTTTAGGTAATCAGCACGACAATGATATGCAAATATTTATCGGGTATTTTGGTGACAAAATTCTCCCCGAATTTATGCTAAATTGAAAAATATACAAAAAGTGAAATTTATGAAAACTCACTCGCGATTTTCACGAAAAGAAGGGGTTTCTTTGTGAATGGAAAAGTTATTTGCTGAGCCAACAATAACGGGAAACCTTCCTATAATATTCAATCGCCTTTTTTGAGCATGAGTGAACCAATCAGTTTGACATAAAGGAAAAATTTTCCCTTTTCATCTCGCTGATTTCTTTCGTGACCCACAAAAGTTTTGTGCCGAAGAAAGTTTCAACACGGGTTAATTGATATCTTTCGTCGCAAGTGTGCTGACTGTCGTAAATTTTGGTCCATATGGCTGGAAAACATTGTAATTACTAGATGTGTTTTCCACTGTTTCCATTCCAATGCGTTCATGGGCGAGCGCAACATCTATCAGATATTCTTCAAGTTGTATCAGATTTATCACTCAGAGCACAATAACTCTCTCACTGTCGACGGAGGGTAAACTTTGCATTATTTCAAGTGGAAGAAGCCTTCGGGAGAAAGTAATACACAGCAAGGAGTAATTGATTGACCTCTTTCGCAAAGGTTCTTTCCTCTGTAATTTACTGTAATGTTTATCTGACCCAGAGATGGGGAACTCACCCGAATTTTCCTCACGATTTTTCGGCTGTCGTTACGCACATCGATGGTCACTGCTATGTCTTCGTCGTGACCGTAGGCTGATTTATTGAGCGCCGCTTTTAGACTCACTCTGCCCTCCGCCCACATGAATGGCTTATCAACAGATCCCTGAGGTGCCTGAAAATTGTGGGCAGAAAATGGATAAGTCACCACGGCGTGAAGTACCGGTGTCACGAGGCAAAAGGTGAGAAATGGCCATTGATGGTCGATGTCAGCAAAAAACTGGACATACTTTTACTGTCCTTGCTCACTGAATTGCGGACAAATAATCTACTTGTTGATCAAAACTTATATAATGTGATATCACTATAATTAATAAGCTCAACTTGTTGACTATGAGATTTTCTTTCCAATTAAACAGAGTGAAAAATACCGCAAAGTCTTTCTAACGTGTGCGGTGGAAAATATTTGTACAGTGCACCTGTTTCAAAGGGAAACTACTGTATCTCAGGAGCAATCCTACCTCAAAGACTTCCGTTTCAGTGCTCGTGTGAGCCACCGCTTTGTCTTTGCTGGAATCTATTCGAGGTTTCGTACTCCCACTGCCGCAGAGTTTATTGGAAAACTTGAGGGCTTTGGGCGATAGTCGCAACCGCAGGCATTTGGGGATGGAGGGCGCTTGAGACTGAGGTGCTTGTGGACAGCACCTAATCTCAGGTGAAATCTTGTGAATCAGCCTTATTCCCAACTTCACTGTCGAGCGTTTCTGCATCTTCTCGTCCTCCTGATCGGAGATGTAGGCTCTAATATCATAGCTTGTGCCAATGGGTGCGCCATTGTAGTGCTTGGCCGGGATGAGTTGAACGCTGGGCGGCGCCACAGTGCCAATCTGAATACTGAAAGCGTGAGCGCCAACACCCAGTCGCTCCAAGAGGGCAGTCTGATGGGGTGGGAGCATATTGACAGTTAATTAAAGTCTTTAAAAGTGAGCTGAAATGAGATTGAAATACCTGAAGCGGAGTCAATTCCTCTTTCTTCGTTGAAGTACCTTCGGGTTGAGGCCAGATTTGCTTTAGTGCTATAACAGCCTCATTGCAGAACTTGAGGCCCATCACCTCCTCGTCCTCTCGGCCATATCTGGAATTGATATGTGGGATGTGGTGAAAGCTACGAGGGCAGCACATGAGTAACACACATTGCCACAAATACGGAAGGCAGACGGCAAGCACGCACACTTTTCTCACGCGGGAGCGCATTTTGAGGTCATTAATCTAAATTAATTGCGGCAGAGTGGCGCTCACCCCAGTCCATTCATGCATTATTAACCAAATCATCCCTCATTCGCACATAGCAGTGCAATAAAAGCTAAAGACACAGTTCTATACACATACACACTTTTCTCTCTCTCTCCACCGAATCACACCTTTCTCCATATTTGGATAATGTATTCATAATACCATCTTTCAAAAAACCCTGTCACACGTGAAGGACCGCTGGTGGGGAAATATAGAGGGTTGTTTACCTCCTATGTTCGTGGGTAGCATTATGGCTTCATCATATTTGAATGAAATACAAATTATGAACACCAAGAAACTCCCTTCGGAGTATTTACTCATTAAGTCAGGGGTTGAATTAAATCATCGTTCTAACCCGATGAGCACAGAATTGTGCTGGAAATAGCAACTCCGATAGCTCTTGTTGAAAGCAATGAGTGTGTGTGCTTCTCAATTACTTGTACAGCACTGTATCACTTTGGGGAATGTTTAGAATATAAAATAGAGCAGAAATTTATCCAATTTGCATTTCTTTGCCAAGTAAATGGAGTAAAATTCCGCTGAACTCTGTCACCATGTAGGATGCGCTATCTGAAATTAATCTCCTGCTGTTCTGACGAAGACATTTTCAGGTATATCCTCGAGTGTTTCCTTTCAAAATCCCCCCCCATGGAGTCTATTTTATGTACGATCTAGAAATCACTTTACACGTGAGCAATTTTCACAAATCACACCCATCTCGTGTAGATACACAACACCATATTGCGAGAGTCATGCGAGAAATAGTGTGTTCTTTCGTATTATTTTCAAGTACCTGAATGTCAAAGTTAATTGGCTGAACAGTCTATGTCCTACAATGTACTTGGGATCAACGTAGAGAACGCCTCGCAGTGGTTCGACGACACCACGTCTCGAGATTATCTCTCTCGTGCCCAAGTATAGAGTCAGAATGGCATTCGGTGAAGTCTTCTTGAAGATCCTGTGAGAGACATCAAAATGTATGGCAACATTGTACGAAATTTTGAGCAGAACCCATTCATGGTGTTTTCTCAGTAACACCCTCTCAAAAGGCACCGCAAATCATGACTGAAAGTGTGCCCGGATCTCGTAAATCATGAAATGGCCAAGTTTGGATCTCTTGTAAGTGATTCAGATAAGCTTTCCAACAATTGCGGATTAATTGGATGTGGAACTGAACATTGGCATGCAAACTTTGACACTTTGCTGAAAGTTTATTTATTGGACAATGTTGGTATTTGGTAAGCTCCACAGATTCCACGAATAAAAACATGCCATTGAATATGTCGCAGCTTTTCGGATCTGAATAATCCTACTTCTGAAATTTCGGCACTGAAAGTTATTCGCATTTGGGAAGCTTTCACACCTCACAAAGTTACGAACTGAGTTTATTCATAGAAAATCCTGGATTTGACTATATTCAATTCATCCAATCTGCTTATTAAAATGTGCCAATTAACGCGAAAATGTATTGAAAGTTCCTTTAGAATGAAGTTTGAAATATTTAATTTGCTGATTTCTTGAAGTTTTCCGTCACAGAAACTTGTATCACATTATAAGGAAACTTTTGACAAACTACACAAACTTATCCAGAGGAGACACGACATCAAATATCCAAATTAAAATTGTATTACATTCCGCTGAATTTTCAACTTGTTAAAAGCTGTGAACTTCAATCTGTATTTCTTAATAAAATTTCCGAAATATCCAAAGTTAAATACAAAGTCACATAAGAGTGATGTTATAAATTTCACGGTGTGTGCTTTAAAGGTGACACTCTTAGGAGGGGATTGTGTAACTTCTTCAAATAGCTTCATTAATTCAAAGGGAAGCTTTTCAAATTACAAATTATCCACTTTCTCATGAACTGGGAGAGTGTGTAAATAAATGAGAGGGAATAAATTGACAACATTCTCGAAGAAATAATGTATTTGATTGATATTTAATTGTGGCGTGAGAATATTGAGTTTCCAATACACGAGGATTTGTTTGCCATTGAGGTGATGGTCGACAAAATGCAGAAATACGACTAAGTGATTAATTGCATGTACCTCCGAGCACCGAGGGATTCAGCTTCAATGTCTGGTGCTCTCCTTATTCCACTACCGCTGGCGCTGAATTGATGGATGCGTTGTGTTTTTTCGTGGCGGATCCCGGATTGGGTGGGGAAGAGCACGGAGGATAAAAAATGGTTATACAAAATGATATCACGTCGAAGGAGGTCGATGTGATTTCGGACAGGAATGGATGAGTCAGTGACTTCTCCCTGGGGCCCCACTTTGATTGATACAGTACATTGCTGCCGTCCTACCTGTCTTCTGGTGGTGCGTTCGAAATTTTGTGCTGCTCATCAGCTTCCTTTGTCATCATAGTGAGATGAAAAGGGTTCCTTTTCATGCAAGCAGTAATTGCATTTTTCACTCACAACACCTAACTTTCTTGTAACTCCGCAGATCTCATAAGTAGCACCTTACTTCTCTAGGTGTTTCCTTTCCACCCACTCGCATTCACCTTTTGCTCGGCACTTTCACCCACATTCACCTGGTAGTCCGCACGGTGGGGGTGGAAAATGTGAGTAATTTACAAAATGCTACGGTAGAGTCTTTCACCCTGCATTCAGTATCTCTCATGTATCCTCCCAAGTATTCTCCCTTATGCTCACGTAGACGTTTAGAGAGGAATGGCTCATATTTCCCTTCCACTTTCAATTTATTTTCAATCAATCTAATATTCCCGCCGCTCAGACACCCCGCGCCAGTCCCCACCACGGCCCTTTATCGAGGACACGCATTAATTTACACAGTACACCATAACACAATCAGAGTGAATGATGAGCCTTTTTGTTGTGTTGAAACACTATTTGTTTTCTGCACCTTCACCCGCACAATTAGTTTCGATACTCATCACTTTTTACGACTGACTCCCCCGGAGTGTGTGCGCCTCCCATCAAATTATATATTTATCCCTAATCACTTGGCTACGTAACTTCAATCCACTCCTCAGCGATTAATTACACAGTGCTTGGGGTATTTGTCGGACGGTCTTGAGACAAAGCAGGCACACAAACCACCCCCGAACGGGCACGCAATACAGCATTTAACTTTCACTGACTGTTGATTCACTGGGGGTGCAGAGGAAAATTCAAATGCCGTTCACGAGGAGTTGAGTCCATGTGAGAGAGTTTCCCACCGCACAGCGCACGTCTTACCACTGCCAGTGGATGAAAGCAACTGTTGAGACTTTCACTGGGAGCTTGGAAAGTTCATTTTCCAGCTACACTTTCCACCGCGACGCCAAACGACGCGCTCCGAAGCGTCACTGACTTTCTTTTCCCTCTCAGGCACACTCATTCAGCACCATTTGCACAACATCAACACTAAATATGTGGAAATTCATTATTATTTCCCACAGGGTTTACGCATGAAGAGTGTGTCATTAGACAATTTTTAACACACACTTTAGCAAATATGTAAATTGTGGCATTTTCCAGCACGAAGGGTGGGTTAGGGTGTGATTTATATTTTGACGCAATACACGCATTGTGTGACTTTGGATCATTACGACAAATGCTCGGAAATTACACGCACCACAAAGGATTCTCCGTCAAATGGGATGTGATTCTCGAACCAATAAAAACCACGTGAGAAATATGTACCTGTTAGTGTGAAAAATTGTCGCCTCATTTTCGGATTTGTTGATTTATTTCCAAAGCGAATTTCACACTGCGTATTATTTTCTTTCACTCCGATAGTCTTTCACATGATGACGCAGTTTTAAAAGTTTTACAGAAACATTTTAGTGCTTTCAATGATAAGTGCATAATGAGTAACAATTGGTGCATCATCATAATTTCACGAGCAAATCGTTGGCAAGGACGCTCATAAAAATTCCATGAATTTGAAATACGGAAAATTTCAGGGAAGCTACATAATTAGTTTGTTGAACAAAGTGGACAGGAATTCTTGTGAACCATTAAGGGGAAAATATTGCAATGCAACGAAATTCAACAGACTTGGCTCTATTATTTGATTCAGTGACTTCAATCAAGTGAAAAGCTATCGCATATGACTTCTCGTGTCACCATCATCATGAAAGTGTTTACTATGACATTGTCCTGTCGGTCATCCATATTAACATCCTGACAAAGCTGCTCCAAATTTCTACATTTATCTCAATTGTCGTATTAAAGTTGGACGAGTGGGCATAAAGTGAGTTATTGAGAGAAAAGTTTCATCATTCTGAGAGCTTCAAATAGGCGAGGGTGAAGTTGTTTCACTTGGCTTCATCTTCTCGCCTTTCCATTTGACTGACAAGCAACAACCTCAGGCCCGACAAACAAATAATATATAAAAAGGATTTCCACATATCACAAGGGACATGTATAATTTCATTCTCAAATCTCACACAATGTACAAAGACCCTCAATTTCCAGCCCCACTGCCGCCGGATGGGCACACTTAGGCGCTATGAGACTTGTGGGTTGGTCTCCGGGGAATGGCAGATGGACAGAGAAACAGGTTGCTCAAGGATACATCTTACGGCTGACTCTCATTCGCCCCATGTGTGAGACCGGGTAATCCTTCAACCCCTTCCGGATCAACTATTTGACTTGATGTTTCGGCGGCTGGTGTCTCTGCGGGGCGGATTCCTCAGAGAAAGTCGGATTTTAAACAAATTCCCCAAATCTGACACCCCCGGAATATGTATTAGGGTGAAATTCATCTCGGCTCCCGATAATGTATTCGTAATTGCAAATTTCCTCAAACTAGCAGTGTGACTCCGTATTGATTTGAGCAAAAATTTGATCGCAATATTTTCATATGCAAAATACATATTGGAAATCGATAACATGAATATATATGGTAATTTCGTAAAATCTTTGGATATATTGTATATTTTTAAATATTAAAAATGTGCTGGCTGAAGCTTAAAGATAGAAGCAAATTAAAGCTTAATTCAATAACTCATTAAGCGTGTTAAGTTTGTCAGATTATATGCACAGGAATAAAATCGGAGATGCTTTTCTATACTTTCATAACCTAAGATGTGAAACTGATACATAACTTCTAAATGAAGATTGAGACGGAGCTTCTATAAATTCCTCAGAGGGAAAACCTTCCCTCTTTTATTTAAAACGCCACTATTGATTTTCCAATTTGATATAATATTCTGTGGAGGTGAAGCTGATTTCAAGCACACTTCAACATCATAACGAGTATAAATTTGATGTGCAAATGGATTTTTATAGCACACAGAGCATATTCAACAGAAAGCGAGAAACAGGAAGCAATGTTAGTCACAAAAGTGATTGAGTGTGATGAAATTAATATCTATTTGAGTCAAAGCTGAAACTGAAATTTAATTTTATTGTCCGTCGCAGCAAACGGTCAAAGCACATTGTGTTTAGCAGAACACGAGATAACACTTTTAAGACTCATTCTGAGATAAAAACGATATTTACTTAGGTGGAACTATGTTGCGGAAAAGTGTTAGATTGTTGCAAAACACTTTCAAAATCGAACAAAGGTGGGGCGCTAATGTCTGGCGGTGGCATTTTCTGCGTGCTCCTGAAGCGCCTCACCGCCCTCACACCTGCCTGTTCGCCACAATGGCCTTTAAAGTACACACAATGTGGCATATAAAGTATGGATAACAGTGTAAAGTGCAGATTGATGTTCTTCGTATTTCGCGTGATGAAAGCAGCATTAAAGCAAAAGTCTCTCTTCGAGGGATCACATAAAAGCGGCCAATTTTAATGCGGAGGTGGGCGTCAGTTTTAAAGCTAAATTTATGCCAACATCTCCTCAAAGTGTTATATAAAAAACAGTCCCTCCCCACGAGAGAGGAATGTCGTATCTCCCTCAAATTAATTGAGATTTGCAAGCGAATGAAGATGGAGGCGCCGGGTGTAATCTTAATTACCACGAAATATGTTCTGCCGAGAGAAAGGTGGGTAGACGTTGTTTAAAGCCACCCGAAAGGGATATTTGCGTACAGCTGACAAAGGTTTCTGTTCCCTTTTTATGTTTAATTTGTAATTTTTATCCCATCACCATTGAGACCATTGAACATTTGACCCCCGATGGGGCTCTTTGGAGCTTCCAGATATGAACTTTTCAAACTGTATAGTCTCGGGTTCGTGCTCCTCTTTTTGTGCCACGCGAAATTATAATTATCGGGAAAAAGTGTCTGTGCAGAGCATGAAAAGAGCAGAATAAGGAAATAGCCAAAGGCGTGTATTTAGCTACAAAGTATTCACAATTAATTAGAATTAACTTCGCAGAGGATTTGAGAAAGACTGTTTATGTTTTTACTGTTGTCTCGTGTATAGATATCAAAGGAAATTCATTCAATCATTCGCATCCCTTCTAAGGAAATAAAGGGTTTTAAATAGGGATGGCAATTGAGGAAAGAGCGTCGAAAGCGTGTTGAATATATCCTTTATAGCTCATAGTGAAATTCAAGTCCGATAATCAAATTCAGAAACTATAAAAAATCTCATTTCCCAATCCGAAAGGTATACTTTAGGAGGTAATTCAAGCTATGGTGAGCAAAGCGTCGCACTTGGCGAAAGAGATTTCCCTTTACAAATGATCCAAAAGGGGAGGGAGAAAATTTACATAATGTAAATCCCTTATGAATGGATTTGTCGACGTGGAGCGTTTACATGGTAGTGAGATTTCGGTTAAATCGATTTTTATGTGCGGTCATTGGAGACTGCAGGGAGACAGTGTGTGGTCCGATACATTATCCGTCACCTCATGGGACCGACTGCTGAATTACCCCATTGCCTCGCATATGCATGTGCGTAATTTAATGTATATAGAGAAGATGTGGTAATGGATTTCATGCTGTTTAATATTGTATCTGACCCGATTTGGACCACACTGTGGGTTCATTTTCAATAGGGATATGAAGATGAGCAGTTTTTACCCTTTTTGCTTTAGCCAATTTACTATTCCACAAACTTACCACTTTAATCGCATTATGGTCAACCCACAATGAGCTTTTTCCAGAGCTGGTGAGTTAACTATGTATTGAGACCAGAAACGAAAGGATCACAATAGCTTGCAAATTAGGGATGAACAGAAGAGTTGTCTATTGCATCCCTTTTTTCCTACATTATTTCTCTATTCTTTCGTTTTTATTCCAGATTGAACAATTTTTATATCAAATACAATACAATACAATATTGGATTAAAGTAGTGTTTGTATTCTTGAGCAATATGTTTTCAAGTTGAATTCAATTCAAAGTCAAATTCTGAGTTCAATTTTGACACCATACAATAAGTTCTGTGAAATTATGCTGATTTTGTCAATACCATCATTTGATTGGTATTCACATCGAATTGTAAATTCGGCCGCGAGTGTACCAAATGCATTGCGAATGTTAAATCAAAGGACATCATTTCATAGCCAGAGATCAGGGTCTTTGTGAGGTATGAATTTGCAATTTCGAGTATGTAAACTAATCTTCATCAGTCAGTATTATTAATGCAAATTGTAAATCATTGAACATTGAAATGGAAGGAACAATAAAGGAGAACATGTTTTTCGACACATTTGCACAGCGTGTTTTCCCAGTCGCTAGTCATGAATAAGAAAATGCTGTGGGTAAAAATCGTTTACTTGAGGGAAAATAGGCACGAAATTCCATCAAAGAGGAAATCGCGGCATGAATGAAAATTTGCCTCTGTGTAAGCATGACGAGAGTGAGTGGAAATAAGCGTGCAGGTCGTGAACAGTGTATAAATATTATTGAAAGAGATAAAATTTTCCTAAACAATAAACATCCTTAAATGATTGACTTGTGCTTTCGCACTGATTACGTGAAGGATTCATAGCCATAACGACAAAATGTGATTCAACAAATCCCATTGAATTTTTCAATTAAATCCAGACCATTATCTTAATTTAGTATAAATCCTTGAGCAATGGTGGCGGGAAGTTTTATTGGACTTTAAATATACTCTCTAACGCTGCAATTTACTTGAATTTGCGAATGGTTGCCTCTTGATGCGGAGAGTTTTCTCAAGTGCTTAACCAGCACGCGCTTAAAGAGTTAGCACCCTAAGAGGAATTGTGATTTCCGTAATAATGGGAATTTGAGTGAGTTTTCCGCGAATTGAAAACCTAAATAAACCACCAGTCGTACCGCATTAAGCGACTGCTGAGACAATGTTTCTCTAATGGAGGGGTGAATGAGGCGGGAGAATTCATAAATTTACTTGTGCAAAAGTTGATTAAGAAAATCCTTAATATAGCACACTTCTCTATGAATATATTATTAATCGCAATAACGTTAAAACTTTCCCGCGTGGCCGAACAATAAATAGAGGAAATCTCGCGCAAAATCATATACATTCTTTTGTGGTGGGATTTCTCCTTGTCACCCCGAGAATTTTTATAATTAACTTTTGCAATTATGAACCTTCTATTGAGTCAGCATTTAATTAGGATGATAAATTGTGCGTGTTTAGAGCGTGGGAGTGATTCAATGTCCCTGCCAAATAATAAAATGTGGGGTGAAAAACATCCAACAAAGATATTGTTGTGTGTTTTCCGCATAATGATATCCATTTTATGGCTGCCGAAGAGAGTGAATGAAAATTTTACACACAGGGAAGAGCATCTCTCTGGGGTTATATATGATAGAAGTTGTCAAATACAAAAATACATCCGCCTTCGCAGAAATTTCATAAATTTTACCTCATGTGGTCTCATTATTTATGTATGCCGTGCTCATAATCACACAAGCATTCTGGGTTTAGGTATAACAAAATTGATCAGAGCAAGTATAAAATATGACAATGAATTCTAGCGATGCATTGATATTGAAATTCATCGGTTTCGTCCCTGAAAAGGTGGGCGTTAATTGAATCGATTGGCACTCAGATTTGTTAACTTTCGCGTGGGGGTGGATTGTGAATGCTTTCAAGCAATGGGTAATGGGCGTAAAATTGGAAATTAATTTTAGTAGAAATTTCCATGGTAACTTTGAAAATATTCATAAATTTGCAACTGTGTTGCAATTATCCAATTTGTCTCTACTATTCATCATGTAAAACATCAGATGGCGCAAAAAGGATGTTTTATTATTCAAATATCAATTACCTTTGCAATTTTTATTGTTAGACACGTAGACACTATCGCTATGTCGATTACGCAATCCAATTGTGCAGCTGCTGTATTTCACTTCAACTGGGACAATATAAAATTTCTGCCAGTTTGTCTTTACCAACTAGTTTCATTTAATCTGTGCAGAAAAATGGAAAGGATTGTAAAGAATTTTAACAATTTTATGGATTTGTCCTTTTGTGTGACAAGTCTTTATATTTCGACGAAGAACAAATGGTGGAAAAATTTGTTGGTTTTCCTTTTCGCGTCTGCACAAATTATTGCTTTTGTTTGTGGCTTTATTCACATAGTGGATTTGAGATGGAAAAAAATCGTTTCCATTTCACTGTTCTTCGGCGTCATTTTAATCTGTGTTTCATGCCAGACTGGACCTAAGCAGATCTACTCGCTTCTTTATCGTAATAGATTGCGCAAACTTCTTCAGTGGGTTCAAGAATTGGAAACTCGAAGTTTCGATGAAATTATTGACGAAACTGCTCGAGAGCGCATTTACGAAGCGAGGAAACATTCTATCCTAACTTTTACGTAAGGAGAGATGGTTTAGAAACTTCTGATAAATTGATAAGGTTTTTTTTACAGAATTTACAACATAAATTTTATAGTTACGGGTTCGTTATATGGTGTTCTGTATCTTCTCAGCAATGTCGAAGGACGATATTGGTTGAAGCTGCCATTTTTTCCTGAAGAAAATCACTATTATTACGAAGTGACTGTCGGATTTCACGTCTTTTGTTTCGTCTCATTCGCTTTCCTCTATCCGCTCACGGACAGTCCCTACATAGTGACGGGCATTCATCTGATGGGTTTCCTCGATGCCATGAAGAGTATCGTTGGTTTAATGAATGATCCGAAATCTTCAAGCGATCATCCGAAAATTCTGAAGCACGTTTATCTTCTTCACTTGGAGCTCATCGATATGTTGAAGGATTTCAATCGCATGATGTATGTGATATCATTGACTCAATTTCTCTGCAATATATCGCTTCTAGTGTTCATCATGTCAATTCTAATGGTCACATCGGATGAATATATAATGTATCTCTGTGGATTTTCTGTGGTTCTTCAAGTGTTCGTTCTCTGTCTCTTTGGAGAGATAATTGCTATGAAAACTGAGAATATAACCTATGAACTGTGCCAGATAAATTGGTATGATTTACCAATTCCACAACAGAGAAATCTTCTCTTCATTTTGCTGATATCACAGAGGAACTATGCACTGAAGGCTGGAGGAATGTACACTATCAACATGTACGCTTTTATTCAGGTGAAAAATCAACTTAGTATTGCGATTCAAGATACAATTCACCGCATAATATAAGTGATTTCTCTTTCCAGATACTTAAGATTGGGATCACTTATGCTGCTCTTATGAGAACCTTTGTCTAGGCCTGCGAATACTTCTACAAACTGCTGAACATATTTTACGAAATCACATGCAAAACTTACACAATTATCAAGACAATTCAACACAGATAGAATTCCCTCTCTAACAGTTAATTTACAATGCATTTGAGGCGATTGCCAAGTGCCATAGTTGTACAATTATTGGTATTCACGGATATTTACTTGGAATTGATATTGCACCCTTATTTTGTGTACTTGACAGCATAAAAATGTATTACGCCAATGCTTTGCAGAAGTGTTCTCAATGCCACAGCTCTTATATGCAATCACGTGCTTTATATACTTTTGCATATTAAATGTTTATGTGAGACAAATTTTATCTCGAGTTTATGGTTTAACGGCGAGGTGGACAGACTGGCAGGCAGGTCACAGTCGCTATAACACCTCACAATATAATGATGTAATAAAGCCATTCTTGAAACTGTCTCTGCTCACATTATTCTCACACATCACATGTAATGATACGCGATTTGCGGAGGAGAAATTTAAGGTACAGTGAGATATATGAGAATTTATGATAAATTGCTGTAATGGAAATGTGAAAATCTCATTCAGTAAATTCTCGCCACAAGTGATATCCTTAAGGCATATTCATGTGCTCACACATAGAGAGTGTGAATTACACGATTTAGCGGGATATTTGAGTGTAAAACAGGATATAAATAGCAAAATTCATTCAATTCATTATGACTTGACGACTTTATTGCATGAAACAGCCCGAAAGAGTGTGTGAAGAGTTGACTGGAGGCACAGCATATCCGTAAATAATTTGTGAAATCTATATGTATTAGGGCAGGACTGGGGGATGAATTAATTCTGTAAAGTTATTTGCTCACACTCTGTGGCACTCTTCGTGGGTGGAAGGGTCGCCTTATTTGCACCACGAGCGTGGAAATACAGGGAAATTGAATTATGTTACCATCACCCACAAACTAAAGACTCACCCCGTGCGAGTGGGAAATTCCACCCCGATTTCATACCTTTTATTTTAGCAGAAAATGGAATTAATTTCTCGACGTGGCAGTACCACATCAGCATCTTAATGATGCCATTCACATCGCTGAGTGATTGACTGTCGATGATAGATAATTGAGTTTTTAACCCCCTGTCCTTATTGAGTGTCAAGCGGGAAATTGGTATTATCTTATCATGGCTGTCATCCGGGAATAACCCCGCTCTCTGTTGAGCCCTGAAGTTGAGGCGTACAGAAGCCCCCGGAGAAGAATAGGAAAGTTTACGTGAAAGTTCAACAAATGTGTAGAATTATCTTTTTATATGTAATAACATTTAATGATCCCATCTTTTGCATAATCATAAAAAGGTTGATTAGGGGAAAATTGTCTGACTTTTTATTGATAATAAAACGTATTTTTTATCCGAATTTACCCTCAAGGGTTCTCCAGAGACAGCCCCAATTCCCTGCGCTCCTTGGATGCTCATCCTCTGGCGATGGGTCGATGATGGTGGCGAGAGTTAAGTGGGGTTGCACTTGTAAAGTGACCCCTCTCTAGAACAAATTGCAAATGTGCTAAATTGAAATTTGCGAGGAGGGTGGTGAACTCGATTCTTCTCCCTCTCTTGAAGGATATGTATGGGATACACGTGGAAATTAGTGAGTGCATGAGGAATACAGAGAGATACTGGGAGGCACTCATTACAAGAAGAGGGTTGATTACGTGTATCTAGGAGATTCTTTTCTTGTACCTTCACCTCTGACAGACGCGTTCACCCCTGGGTGTCTAATATACAATCATTAGAAGACGACTAGTATTAGTGTTTAATTTCGTGTAAGGATATTTCCCGTCTTTTCTATCCTGCTTTATTGCTCGATTATTGCGCCAGGAGAGACGCTACGTGGCCGTAAAGGGAGCTTCCCTTATCTCTCGTGGGACTTTGGATGGGTGTAAAAAACAGAACAGAACACCCGTGAATCCCCAATCTTCTCGTAAGCCAGACTTTACTTATGGTTTGGTAAATTGTAGCTACTTAAATAAATATTTTATATAGTCGAAGTGGCGCTTGTCCCATCCAATTCTCAGTTCATCACACTGTGGAGAACAACAGCCAGCTTAAGTGGAAAAAGAGTTATTGAGATCATCATCTTATATCGTGATATGTAGCTCGTAAAATAATTTATTGCTCCATCTTCCTCCACTCGAAATTGATTTTTAGCCATTATGCGCAGTGTCGCCCCTCAAACAGAGACTGGCACTGATCCGGTGGGACGTACCCAAACCGAGACAGAGACTGACACAATGTGTTTATTTTCGAGTACGTGATCTGAAAAGTTACAGTGAGGACGAGAGTCTCTCAACTTTTCAATAAGTTCTTGTGCTGCGGTGAGAAACTTTCTTCCAGTTGACACATTCTTTCTTCTGGAATCACACCCAGGGGATGAATTCAATTAGGTAGATAGGTCAAGTACGTAGTGACACTATTTTCCATGCAGCACGTGTAGAATTTTATTTAAATTCAACAAACCATAACCTGCCTTAAAAAAAATGTGAAAGCTCCTCTAATTGAGTATTCATAGCAAAACATTCGCATTACTAATAACTTTATTGTGATATGGGAAATCAGAATTTTCACAATGATTGCTATGGCTCGATAAAATATGAAATGAATTTTCTAATGAATTGTGTAGAACTCGTAGTTTTGGAATATTAATCAGCTTCGGTAAAATTATTTGAATATGTATAGTCGTTGAGAACACAATTAAGTGAATTAAATTGAGTTGTTATTGCGATGAAACTTTGAAATGATTACATTGCAGGAATTCCGCAGGATGCAAATCTATCTGATCCTATGCAATTAAATTTCACTCATAAAATGATTTATCTCATTTGATGGGAGAATATTGAATTTGGCGGTGGGATTTTTCCACACTCCGGGGTGAGGCATGTTATTTTCCCGAGTGCGATTGACTAATAATCTGTTATCGTTTTGCAGAGACACGATGATGTTATCAACCCTTGAATCCAATTTGTATTCCTGTACCTATCACATCGTATAAAAATCACATCCCATCATATGCTGGCGGGACAATATATTTCAACTGAAGTGATCTCACGAGTGAAAAGCTCACAATGATGGAAGACGATTTCCTTTGTGCCACTTTACTTGCCATGAAGGAGAGATACTCATGGAGAAGGGTGGCAAAAGAGCGATATACGTTTAATATGACGAGCCAGACATTGCAAGTGGTTGGAAATCAAAATTGTCTTTTGAGGAAGGACGATGAGGAAGTGCCTCTTTGTGAATTGTACCAACCGTAAAGTATTTCCTTCTGCGAGCTTCCTCAATATCATACACAAATATAACAAAGGGGTGAAGAAGAGGCAGGGATAAAAAGCCGAGAGTCCTGAAAATACCTGGAGGCCATTCTTCCGCTCTCTGCTTCCTTTTTCCACTCTACCAACATTTATCTCTCATCGTCGATTTTTCTGCTCCACTTCGGGAAATCTCATCGTGCTCTTCTTGATATTGCCAGACAAAATTCACACAAGATCTCTCAGACACATTGAGGAATTAAGAGCAATGAAAGACAGTTTTCACTCTTCAGTAAGCGGAGACATCTGATTCGCTACCATTCCATTTGTATAATCTCATTTCAGCCAAGGAAACTTTCAGACGTCTAATGTTACGTGTATCCAGTAATTCAACACATCCTGTTTCTTCAACAGTGTAATTCGCCTTTTCATAAACTCCCCAAAAGGTATATGTTATAAGATGTAAAAGTTTCGTATTCTTATGTGCATATAAAATGAAGATCGCTTTTCCATCTGAAAATAGATTTTAATTAACGTCGTCGAGGAATGTGTTTCCATTCGAGGTCCTTGGGACTTCCCTGGAGCATCTTGCCGGGTAATAAAACACACTTAAAATGCTTATGTCAAATGTGTCACTTAATAAATTCCTTCTCGCCTCTCCTTCCCTCTTGCCATTTTATGTACAATTAAATGCACTCTCGTATAGAGGCATTTTCGATGGGGAGGCGTGGAAAGCGAAGCTCCACTTTTCGTTTGTGTATTTTCACCAGAAGTGTATTTATGTTATCAGGGTAGAAGCTGTGGAACCTCACCTTCATGCATGATGATTTATATACTGAGCAGGAAGTGGAGTGTCATGTTTCACATGGGTGTGAGTCTGTAAAGAAAGTCAACAGACGAGATCCTCACGCACTTTTCCTCAGTCTGGGCGGGAGGATGGCAACACCTCTGAATGCTGTCTCGTGCTCTGTATAACGAGATTAAGTTTTATTGTTGCCAAAATTGGCTTTATTCCTATAACAAGTGAATTTTATGAATGTGCCAGAATTTCCCAGCAGCAAAGGTCACCCACGGGCCTGGTCCATTGACATATTTTCCCGCACTTCGCAGAAAAGCTTTCTGCCTTATCTAATAAGGGAGGCGACTAAGCCTCAAGTATAGGTCGATTCTTACGAGGGTTTTCCTCTATAATACAATTTTTGACAACAATAATCACATTCTGTTGCTCTTGCCATTGTGTATTTTTCTTCACTATGGCTATTCTGGGAATTTTTTTTACTGCCTCCGAGCCTCAAGCCGAAAGCCATGGAAACTCACCTGGTGAACAGTGATTCTAGCAATCACCCGAAATAAATTCTCTGAACCGTGGGATTTAAATAAACTGCACGAATATAAGTGGTTTTTTCTTCTATTTTAATCGTCGCATAAAATGAAATATTTGGAATTGCGTTTTTTACAACTAGTGAAACAAGTAAATACACAACAGAAAATCCATTTCAATTGAAGCACTCCATTTCTATTGATTTTTGAACTACGCTATATATTTGACAAGGCTAACGATCGAAAAGTTAAACTGGTGGCTCGACGACTCGACTTGTGGACAGTTTTGGATTGAAAAATTAACAATGTAGAATGCGTTCATTAATAATTCTGCCATGTCTCTATATATAGAAAACGAGTGTTACATATTGCATAAGGTGGAAAATAAACATTGTTGTTTCTCCGAATATTCAGCCAATAACATTCTGCACATCAATCCAACTCGATTCGCGAATATGAATTTCATGCCCTGAAGTGTATAATTGATGCATCGTTGAACGAGAGGAAATTTATCATGTATGGAATTCCATGGGTGTTCTTGCATCTGACGCAGGATTCTATTTCATAGATCACTCTAGGGTATAATATGCCTTTTGTTGCCCTCATCGAGACCTAAATACTCTACCGTTTCACGTAATTGACTATAATTTTAAGCAAATATTCATTGCTTGTTTGTGAAAATCCTTAACCTATATTGTTATTTTCCAACTAAAATCATTTCAATTGGGTTTTGTGCCATTGTGCGTGTTTTTGGCCCGAGAAGGGCACTAGCTTGAGAAAGTATTCCTTCCCATTGATTAGCATGGGCATTCTACCTCAATTAGAATGCAGAAAAAGAGAGTTCTTTCACTAAATTTGATGCTTCTTGGTCTCATCACTGACGAATTGTGAGTCTTCAACATGCATTTTCGCTCTGAGTGTACTTTCAACTTAATGAATTTCATCTAATAATACTCCTGTGTGGTGAGCGCACTAATTCAGACCATTCAGTCATTGTGAAGAACGTACATGAGACTTGTGATGGTTGAACTTCCATTGAGACTCAGTGGCCTTTGTTTCGCATTTGTATTGGAACAATATTTGCATAGCTCTGCGGTGAAAGCAGATACCAAGAGAGCATACATATTTTAAGAGGTTAGCCATATAGAAACTTCTGCACAGACGGCTGCTTTGGGGGTGAACTTAATTTCGGTGAACCGAAGACGATACAGACTTTTTAAATAGTTTGCACTTGAATGGAATTCTCAGTCATGCATATTTTCTTACAAGTGATTCTTTTCAATTAAGATTTAGTGATAAAATTAATGAAATTAACTATACATCTAAATGATACTCAATACTGTGCCTCGAGGGTTTATGCAAACCCTTTTGCTATACTTCTTGTATACATATACTTGGCAGTGATCCATTAGGTAAAGTAACCCAAGGAACAGAGTGTTAATCAAATTACTCAAAGTACACATCCTGCGATGGATTTTGAAAACGTGACAATAGGATTTTTAGAATCTGGGGTTCATTGTACGCTCAATCAATATCCGACAAGCCTCTTTAGCTCAGCAGATGAATGGTGTTTATTGGGTGTTCTCAATACGGGCTCAATTGAACGGAACTTTGCCACCTTGCGAAACACCCGCTCTCTTGGGTATCGTCTTTGGTTGGAGTTCTGGTGAACCAGAGTGTGGAATCCTTATACAATACAACCGACAATGGTCACGTATGTCCAATGCTAATGGAGGGTTTACATATGTATACATCTATGGAAACCCACAAAAGCTGTCTGAGCCTTACACAGCTAATGATTAGAGTGATATTGCTATTAACGAAAACGTTGCAAGAGACATGGGGAGGAGGGCGGATTGGTGCTCCAGAAACACTTAAGAAGCATAACAATGGATGGAGCTCTTGGATGAGACGCTTGCCTCTTTCTTGGGGTTATCTCTTCCTTCGGTTTAGTAATATTGTTTAAATTTCCCGGAGAGTGGAAAGGGGGGGGGGGCAATATTTAATGTAGCATTACAAGTTTCGACGCAGTCGAGAGGGCCACATTATAGTCCTCTAAGCAATTGCTGAGGGTGAGAGAAAATGCTGAGAGCATTGTTTTACGTTACACTATGGCTTTCATTATTAATTTTAATGAAAGTCTAATCCCTCGCTCTCTCTTTGCTTATTCTTGTGAGGTTTTCACAGTGTGGAATTTCCAATCAATAACTCATTCTTACACGTCACACCGTGATAACCATAAGAGACAGCGGCAAACCAGCTGTCTTGGAGGAAATTTCTCCCAAGATTTCTCCGATTACTTCGTTGGATTTTATTACAGAAAAGGATTTCCTGGAATAACATTTATCTCACATTCTCCTCAGAAGCTGATGCTGGTTTGCATTTCAGTTTTTATTTACGTGTTGCTACAAGGGTTTAAACGAATAAAATATGCACATGAGTGGCTTTAAGCTTAAATTAAGTTTATTAATCAAATTTATAGACTTTGCGGCCAGAGCATCGATCCTTCGCATAAAACACCACATGAGAGAAAATTTTGCTATGGAATATTTGATATGTCTGAAACTTCCGAAGCTTTTCTCTGGCTGAAAAGTTCCAAAGGCTCACCAATGTAAATTTAATTTCCCGAATAATTAATTGCTCTGGAAAATTTTGCAAGGGAAAATTGAGCATGGTGGTGAAGCAAAATGAAAAATTCACAACGATTCTGGATGTTAATTATTGAATTTAACACCACATAATTCCCCTCAAGTTACTTCGGATGAGAGCATGAAGTGCCTGTCTATCAAGGGAAAAATTAGCCACATGTATTGTTAGTGGAGCAATTAAGAAGACTAATTACTTCATTGGTTAGTATATTGAAAATTAATAAAGTCACATTCTTTATATATTAATATCTCTTCAAGACGAGCGAAACGAGAAAGAACAACGACGAAAACCGCTGTGAATACTTTATGTCACATTGAATTTTTATTGTACACTTCACGTTCTTTACAACTTTTGCAATAATGCACATAAATGCAATTTCATGCCACTTTTTACGGCAGTCATAAAATGTATGAAAACTATAATGAATTGAAATTCATTGAAATGCAATAAAACTAGAATAACATCAACTTCCTACTTTACCGCAATCTCGGAACATTGTACCTAAAGTGCTTCCTTCTATACATAACTTCCTTAAAATTTCATAAGGCACGTCACAATGTCACTAAAGGCACTAGATTTCACATTTCTGCTGTCTCGTCACGAACAGATAAAATTTGAATTTTCCACTTCCACAGAAGGAAGTTGATTGGAAAACTTGTAGTATTGGGAAATGGCGGAAAGCCTTTTCTTCCCTTGCAAGAAAAAATCATTTCCACGCTCCTGAATATTCATCAAGAAGTGGCTCACTGGGTGACCGAAGTTTCGGACTCTGACGACACTGAGAGCTTTTGCTTTTTCTTCGACTTCCTCTCGTTGACCACTTTAAAGTGGATGGATTCCTCGCTGACGTTGGATTTGGAGTCTTCCTCTTTAAGTGGCTCAACTTCGCGGCGATGTCTCCTCCTGCCGCGACTCTTCTCGTAATCCGCGGATTCACATCGTCGACGGTGTTTCTTGTCAGTGTCAATAGTGTGCTTTCGCCTCGATTTGGAGCTCCGTGCTGGCGATAAGTTGCTTCTGTGGCTGGATCTCTTTATCCTGCCACTCGACTTCGCGCCACGATGTGATTCCTCATTGGATTTGGACGTGAGTGTCGTCTGGGAGCTCGCTGTGGAATAGCCGGTGTCCTTTTTGCCAGCGGATGCATGTCTGTGGCGAGAAAATTCGGTTACACTTGTAATTTATTCCCAAGAAATGTCTGTGATGTTTCACCTTGAGTCCTGACGTGGGAAAAGAAACTTACCTATTTTTAGTCCTTCTCTTCTCACTCTCGTGCTTCTCCTCAATTTCACTGCCATCACTTTCGACATTCCTTCGGCTCCTTCTCTTCCCCTCATCATGTTTGCCACTTGAAATTATGTAGATGTCATTCATGCGTCTCTCCTGCCGTCTGCTCTTCATCTTCCTGTTCTCCGTGTGTACAACGTACAATCGATACAGCTGGAGGAGGATCACCAGAGTGTTCTTGCATGTGAAGAAGACATTCATGTATGAGATGATATTGTAGTGGATGATGATGAGCAGCCTGAATGCCAAGAAGGGCGCGTCCTGGAGGAGAATGTTGAGAGCAATGCCCCAAGCGTCGATACTGCAACAAGTGCAGCAACAGCAACCAAGTCTGCAGAGAGAGAGAGTGTTAATTAATTGCGCGAAGCGATGAGTGGAATTGACACTCACTCATGGTCATACGTAGAAGTTCCGCCGGATCCTCGGGGTTTCCTTGCTCTGGTGGCCGAGAGGACAATTGTGAACTGGAGAAGACTCCAAGACCAAATGCCGAGTGTCAGCAGGACCAGAAGACGATCATTGGCGATTGTATTGTCCTTGAAGGAGTCAAAGAACTCAATGATATCTGCCGCTGTTCCGATGTAAACCAGCAAAAGTTGGCTCAACTGATCCCTCGTCAAATCACCCTTGGGCAACATCCAACGTCCCACGATAAGGATAAGCATTAGGAATTGCTCAATGAGTGTAATCCACGTCCCTGTGTCCACTTTAATGTCTGGAATTTTGAGTTGAGTTCCAAGAATTTTATCCAATTGCTTAAAATTTGGCGCCTGAATTGGAATTTCATCTCCGATTAGCCTCAGTCTCCGCTCCATCTTCTCCAGCTCCAGCAGCCAAATAGCTGGCACGACACTGCTGAGGTAGAGAAAGACCGACGGACAGAACCTATCCCACAGAAGAGAGAAACAAACTTTGTCACCCACACTCAACACTGAAACTTCTTCTTATACAAACTACAAAAGCACATAAAATCTCCACCACCGCAACTTTCTCACTTTTTCATTAGTAAATGAGAATCTTATTCAAGAGTTTGAAAGGCTTTATGAAATATCAATGCGAGACGCGAAATCCTTTTTGTTATGTATCTTGATGTTAAATAAATATTAATTGTATGACTCTGATTTGCAATAAAGAGGATGATTTTTTTAATTCTTATAGTGGAAACTTTAAGAAGCATGTATAACAATATTACAGTCATATCTCATGGGAAATCAAATAAATGGAATTATGTGGTCAGATGAGATCCGACGCCACAAATTGATATAAATATCTCGGATTTTAAGTGAAGTCCATGAGATTAAGTGGTGCGATGACACCAAATCTTTGCGTGGGCGATGAATAAAAATCCCATTTTATGCAGAAAAGTGTCCCTCTATAAAATGTAGCTCAATGAAAATTGATGATGTATCGATTTCCCGTAGTCAGTCACAAGCGAAACCACTTTGCGTATTTACACTGAGTTGCTGTAGTCAATTTCCGGCATCCGGCTTCCCTATTAGAAGGGATATTTGTGTGCCACAGTGAATTGCAGGAAAGAAAATCAAGTAAATTGATGCTCAAGGATAGAGAATTTAACTCGATGGTGTCTCAATTGGATTTCACTGACATCCTGCGGAGCATTTTCCCGATGAAAATCGTAAAGTTCAGCGAAGCGACACAGCAATGACTATAATCTTGACCGTAATGCCCACACAAGTTTTTATTTACACGTCCTGCCAGTATTACCATCGCCATTCCTGGTTCTTCTTAATGGTCAGCGTGAAGATGGCCTCCAGCACGAGGAGGAGGATTGGGGCCGAGAGGAGCCACCAGATTTGATTGGCCTTGCTGGTGACGCATTGCCAGATGGCCAGCAGTCCGTGGGCACCGAAAATAAGGCGCGTGATGATGGCTTTGACTGATGCGAGGAACTTTGCCATTTCGTGGCTCAGAAGGCGCGCATTTTTTGCAAATCGCGGGAAGGCACTGTTTTTGGCGCGCTTGGTCAGCTGTTGAGGACCCCGCGCCGCGATGTAGACAAACTGTGGTGAGATTTCAAAATATATTTACCACTCTCTCTCGCTCTCGCTCTCTGGAATGCGCTCTCTCTCAGTGCCAGAGCAAAACAAAGTGGTGAGAAAGTGACAGCGAAATATCGTCTCTGGAAAAACTCCGCAGAAAAGTACAAAAAACGTGAAAATTGATGTCGTGACGCTGTAAAATGGAAGTGAAATACTTGAGCTGGAGCCTGGTGATCCTGGGCCTATCGCTGAATCTGCTGGGCGTGTTCTGGTGGACGGCAATCGTCTTTGGGACTGTTTCATTTATTTTGGGGTTAGGATTGACACCTGCAAGGCACTCGACGGTGCCCCCGTTTTGTGGCTTCCAAACTAATTTTCCGCATCCATTCTAGATTTGTAGCTGTTCTATACTTACAGCATGAGCACATGGACAAGTTCCTACAGAATGACATTCGAAATCCTCTCGAGGAGACTAAAATACCTCTTGGCTTGAACCTCGGTAAATGACAAAATGCTGGATGTTTTCTCTTTCCACTCAATTTTCGTCAATTTTTCTTTACTCTGCATGTATTTTTATCGTGTTTGATTTACTCTTGTGCATGAATGTTGTTCTATCGATGTTGACGGTTCTTCTGGCACGGCGAGTAACGCATAATTTTCCCTCCCGTGTCTGCAGCGTGCGACAAAAAGCCCATAATGTTGATTGCGCCCAACATAAAAATACAGACAGAGTCAAGGAAAGTTAAGAGTCACGTGGATAGTCGTAAGAAGAGTCTCATTGACACGGGATTTGAAATTTTATTCAAAAAACACGGCAAACACGCAGACGGGGCGTCGGGAAAGAGCTCAGGACAGCCGGAGGAGCAGCAGAAGCTGTGGAAGCCCTTGGAGAACATAAAGATCTACACAGAGAGGCGAAAATCATACGATTGCCCACCGTCTCAACATGCAGAGCCTTCTGTGGCTGTTGGCGAGGACGTTTCACTGCTGAACAGCCCTGCGAAGGCAGCCAAATCTCAGTCATCGCCCCGGAAGGCTAAGAAGAACGTCCTCAGTGGGAATAAACAGATCGATGTGCTGCTCCACACAATCATTGATTACATTATCAGGGATTTCATTGATTCCTGGTTCTGCTCTCTGTCTGAGGACAAGGAGTTCAGCGAGATAAGAGTCCGAAACACCATTGAGGATTTCGTCACGAACATTTGCACCAGGTGAGCTGCCGATATTTCCCCCAAAAGACACTCAAATATTTAGCTTTTCTTCGTCTCTCGCAGGATCAAATCTACTCAGTGGCTTCCGCTGATCACCACCAAGCTTGTTGACGATGTGGCCACGCACACGAAGCTCTATCGACTGGCCCAGCAATCTGTGGCATCCACGAATGTCGATGACCCAAAATGCCGGCTCTCGGACAAGCTCTCGCCGCAGCGGAGCAGCAAACAGAGGCACCATCGGAGGAACAAGAGCGAGACAGACCTCAATTGGCATCTTGGTGAGTGCTTTGATTTCCATTTCATTTCTCGCGCTGCTATTTGGCCTGCATTGAAAACCCACGTGTTTTCTGTATCGATTTCAATCGAGTACAATTTTACTATTTATTTTCAAGTCGCAATTTTCCACAGAGTGTATACAAAGGTTAAAATATCTGTAAGAATCCATGTATGCAGTGCCAGGTCGATTCCCAAAAGACGAAAGATTCTATACAACTTCTGTCTCCTCTCTTGCTAAGACTGAAATTCATCAAATATTTTACAAAAAGAACATAATCGCAGAAGAAAACAAAAAGACGGCGTACAACTCTTGTGTCATTTCCCGGGGACAGACGTAGGGTTTTCTTATGCATCCTCCAGGAAGAAATACTGTCCCGCCTTCTTCTGTTCCGTGTCCTTGACGGAGTTGTTTTTGTTGATGCGCGGCCTGAAGTTGTTGGGATCGCGACGGAATGTGATCTCCAGCAATTCCAGGAATTTATTCATGCCGTTCAGGAGGGATTGGGGCGTGTGGGCGGTGGTGTTGATAGAAGGCTTCCCTTCGAACACGATTACGCGATCTGCCATGTATGTTGCCATGATGAAATCGTGCTCCACTACAAAACCTGTCTTCTTAGCGTGAAGGATGAACCTGAAAGCGCAATGAGAAGAGGGTTTAGAGAGTAATTTCAGCCGAGAATATTTGTGGTTTTCACTCACTTCTTGATCACTTTCGCCGCAATAAGACGCTGCTCGGAGTCCAGATAGGCTGAAGGCTCGTCGATTAGGTACACATCAGCGGGCTTTCCCAGACAGATCGTCAGGGCGACACGTTGGAGCTCTCCTCCGGAGAGGTCTTGCACATTCTGATCCATGATATCCTCGATCTTGAGGGGCTTCATGACGTCCGCCATGAATTGTGGATGTACGTAAGCATCACGGATTTTCTCGCCCAGCAGCTGCCGAACGGTGCCCTGATGGCGAGGTGCAATCTTCTGTGGCTTGTAGGAGATGTTGAGCACCGGCAGCTTGCCAGAGCCCTCATCGGGTTCTAGATTTCCGGCCAACATGCGGATGAATGTTGTCTTGCCAGTGCCATTCTCTCCAAGGAGCACGAGAATTTCCGAGTCGCTGAACTGTCCCTGTTCCACGGAGAGATTGAATTCTCCAAGGGATTTCATCATTGTCGGATAGATGTAGTGGTTCATGCGCTTGATTTCCTCCGTGGCGGATTCAGAGACCTTAAATGTGAGCGATTCCGTGCGGAATCGCATGTTCTCCGTTGGCACAAAGCCGTCCAGGAAGATATTGATGCCTTCGCGCACAGAGAAGGGCATCGTGATGACACCATAGCAGCCGGGCACGCCGTACAGGCAGCAGATAAAGTCTGAGAGGTAGTCCAGGACAGACAGATCGTGCTCCACAACGATAATGAACTTATCCGGCTGAATCAGCGAGCGGATGCTCTGAGCAGCGTTGAGACGCTGTCTCACGTCCAGATACGAGGATGGCTCGTCGAACATGAAGATGTCACCGTCCTGAATGCACACCATAGCGATGGCGAAGCGCTGCAACTCCCCTCCGGACAGCGCGGAAATCTCACGCTCGGTAATCTTGAGCAAATCCAGCGTCGTTGCGATCTCCTGTCGATTCTTGCGCTCATCCTTGCGCTCCAGCAGCTCAGTCACCGTGCCCTTGACGGCTTTGGGGATCTGATCCACATACTGAGGCTTTATCAGTGCCTTCAGCGAGTCCTCGAGGATCTTCGTGAAGTAGTTCTGGAGCTCCGACCCGCGGAAGTACGCCAGAATCTCTGTCCAGTCGGGGGGATCGTTGTAGCGACCGAGGTTGGGTTTCAGCTTCCCGGCGAGAATCTTCAGCGCCGTGGACTTGCCTATTCCGTTCTGGCCCACGAGACCCAGCACTTCTCCCGGACGCGGGATGGGCAATCGGTGGAGCTTGAAGGAGTTCTTTGAGTACCTGTGGGTGGTGTGCTGATCCAGATTGCTGGGGATGTTGATGATCATGATAGCGTCGAAGGGACATTTCTGCGGAAGGCACACAAGAGATTGACAGATTCCACGCAAACAGCTGTTCGCAGAAGCCACTCACCTTCACGCAGATGCCACATCCTATGCACAGCTCCTCAGACAGAGAGGCTATCTTGGAATTAGGCGTCACCTCGATGCAGAGCTTCCCCATCCGCACCACAGGACAGCACTTCTTGCACTCCTGCCTGCATCTCTTGGGCTTGCACTTGTCCGAGCTCACAATGGCGATACGCGTCTGCTTGGTGGTTTCCTCCGCGGACTTGTTCCTCGACATTTTCTGCAAAGGCAATGGAAATTGAGTGGGAATACCCAAAATCTCTCACTCTCGGGGACAGTGAAAGTCTCTTCGATGGGGCCACATAACCTCACTCTTCTCACAAGTTTCACAGCAATACTGATAAAATTGCAATTTTCGGGGGTGTTTTGGTGATCAATCTGTAGGGAAGATGTTCTTGGGGGGACTGGGGAGGTCTCTGAGTCAATATTGTGAAATTACCTGGTATTTTTCCACGAAAAATCTGGAGAAAAGGCGAACGCTCGCTGGCGTGTCAGCCTGAATTCGTGTCGAAAAAGGGCTCTAAAATTGCAAAAATTTCATAAGCAAAGTTTCATGAATTAATTAAAATAGAATTTGTGAAGGAAATTGTATGAAATATCAGCAATAATTTATTGGGAATATGATTGCAGATGATTATACAAATTTCAATAGAATGGTTCATTTGCAGACGATTTGTTTATGTGCGATGAAAAAAAGTTTATTGAAAATTTCATGAAATTTAAGTCACACTGAGTAGAAGTTAACGCCATCTATGAACGAATTGCTTGCAGGAAATGCTGCTGTTCAGAAGAACGTTGCCAATTCAAAATTCTATACGAAAACCATTGATGAGCAGACACTTCTGGACCCGGAACTGAAACTCCTGCACGCTTTCTTCGATCACTGTGGCACTTTCCAGCGAGAATGCCTTAGCGATAGTGATTTGGAGGGTAAATTACCCAATGAGAAGCGGTGTTTAAGCTGAGAAATTAACATATTTTATCTACTCTTGCAGATTATCTTACTCATGTTTTGGAAACTGTCCTCTATTTCACGCTTCCTGAGGAGGATTTTGCATGTCTCCCACTCAGGACATTCCTGTGTGCGCTCCTGGCGAATGTTGTGGTGAAGCCCGCCTTGGAAATGCTCGCCGATCCGGACTTTATCAATCTTCAAGTCGCAAGATTGTTCACGAAAGAACCTCCGCCAGGAGAATTTCTGCTGAAGCTGATCCGTCAGTGCACAGATTTGTCAGAACTGCGTGCATGTCGTCAGTTGATAACTAAGGAAATGGATTTGGTAAGAAGAAATGCTTGTAATTACACAAGTTTTCATCGTATTCATCGATTTTACCTTGCAGAAATATAAGGATCCGAACTTTGCTGCTGAGCTGGCGAGTCTCAAGTATGCGCAGAAGTTGATAGACCTCCGGATAAGTTATATTCAGAATAACAAGCTCTCAGCAAATCGATCTGAGCGGGAGAAACTCTCATCAACACTTCCAATTCTCAGTTTGGATGATCTTTTGACGAAGGAATTGGCTTTATCTTACTACCTGGACTACCTGAGTATCCTCAATCTGCAGAAATACGTAATTTTCTATCTCACAGCGCAAGAATGGAGGATCACAGTGACACAAAGTTTGGCGGATCTTCAAGCAAACCAAGCAAAGACGCCAAAAGAGGAGATGTTCAAGACATTGAGAGACAAGGCGCAGAGTCTCTACAAAGAATATCTCATTCCACCATCGACAAATTGCTTGAATGTTGATCCAGGGCTTGTGGAAGTGCTCAATATTAAGCTGAAGGATATTTCCTTGCCTCCAGAGACATCCTGGTTTGAATCGATTTGCAAGTTTGTCTACGAGAAACTGAAGAATGAAGACATTTTCTTGGCCAACTTCTATCACAGCTCAGCCTACAAGAAACTCCTACTGGAACTTGACGTGTTGGGGCACAATCAGGAAGTCCTGGACGTTGATATGAGCCTCAGTGGCATGGGAAGCAATGTGGAGAGCGGCAGTGATAATAATTCCGGTGACATCGCCTTTGATGACGATGACAACATGGAGGATGAGAAGATTGAAGTGACTACGAGTGGGAAGAATGACCAAAATCCTGATATTCGCATCACCACAGCGGACAAGGATATCATTGGAATGGGATATGATCTGTCAGTATTGCCTTTTCTGTCTCAGGAAGGCGGCAGTTTCAAGCACTCTCGCTCTCACAGTGATTGCACGGGAATCGTGGCGACTTTGCCTGATGTTTCAACGGATCCTTTGAGGGATGGTGTCATTCGGAAGCGAGAGATAGAAGCGGAAGTGGGAGATCATCTAGATGTGAAGTCGGCAGAGAGGAAATCTTCACTGCCTGAACACAAACTCACGGCGAAGATTATTCAAACTGCCCTTATTAGTGATGGATTGTACGCAGTTTATGCTGTCCAGGTGTCAGTTGTGGAAGATAATCACCACAAGAGTTGGCATATTTACCGTAGATACTCAAAATTCCTGGAGTTGAAGAAGATACTTCAGAAGAGGGTGAGTTTTACAGTGCTTGGATTAGCTTTTGGGAGTTCTTTTAATGGTCTTTTTCGATTTTCCAGTTTCCCGGATTGGGTAAACTACCATTTCCCGCCAAGAAAGCATTCCAGAATACTCAGAGAACCGTCCTGGAGCATCGAATGACGATTCTCAATCAATTCCTGCGCGAGATTTGCGCTAGAGCTCATGGAAATGACGATATGAATGCCATTATCAGGGATTTCCTGGAGCCAGACACGAATGACAAGAGGATGCAAGGCGGAGCGGTCATCAGAACGGTGAGGATTTGCTTCTGGGATTGAGAAGGATTGTGTTATGTGAGTGGGTTTTCTTCCCTTGCAGATTGAGAGCCTGGTGAATCCATTGAAGACGGGAATGAGGACAATTCGCAACATGCCGGATAATTTAGTAGGTGGACTGGCGAAGATTTTCCTGGGCAGAGGCTCACTGAAGGAGCAGACTCCCTTCCTTGGTGTCACCTCATCCGTGCAGCTGGAGTCCTCGGAATATCCCGCCTTGGCGGCTGCTCTCAATCTCCTGGATGAAGTGTTTGATCTGCAGACTCGTTCGCAGTGGCTTCGCCGGGGGATCATCAATCGCCTCCTGGGCGCTCCGTGGGTGAGTAACACGGCCAACAAGAAGATCATTCACGGTGCCAAGGCGCTCATCGAGGCGGACAAAGTGGAGCTGCTGCTCTCGAGTATTCTCAACAGTATCTGGCCAGATGGCCGACAGGCGCGCAAAACCGTCCCGCGGGAGGACAACACGAAGCTGCGCACGCGGATGGCGGCCAAGATTGCGCTATTTGCGCTACTCTCGGACGATCTGAAGCACGTCGTGGGCTCGGAGACAACGCGATCGGGCCTCCTGAATTTCTTCTCCATGTGGCAGCACAAGAAGCTCAACTTGAGGCTCGTTCTGGTCCTCCTCAATGATATACTGACCCTCCTCTATCAAACGGACAGTATGACAAAACATGTCGATGGACAGTGATTATTTTAATTTTGTGATTTATCATTTGTTTTAGTTCATTTCTCTTCTGTTCTGCCCTTTTTTATGTTCGCCTTCGCGGGTAGAGTGATATATTGGCGCTGGGCAGAAGGTGAGGAGAAAGAGATTTAGCTTAAAAGGAAATAAATTAATTAGACGGTATTAGTGGATCATTTAAATAGGTTTCCTCATGCCTGTGAGATTTTGTAATCGATAGAAAAGTGACTTTTATTCTTTTCGCGCTCACAAACTGGCTGTCCGAGGGGTTGCTCAATGTAAGTATCTAAATTCATCTCATGGCTTTTGATTGAGAAGTTCGTTGGATGTCGATGTGGTTGTGCATTTATTGATTGGGTATCGTTTGGAAAATTTCTCTATTTTCGATTCGTGTTTGGATGTTCTTTTTTTTTCACATTTTTGGGTAATATACATACGTGATTCGACACGTTTTGCCATCACTTGGGAAAGTTAATTGATCAGCCCCTCTGGTGTTTATGTTTGGTTTTTGCTGTGGCAATCGGAAGGTTGATTAATTCCCATAAAAAGAATATTGATTGGTGTACATTAATAATTTGCATTCGAATGGGAATGGGAGAGAAAGAGAGACATGGGATGAGCCGCGAGTGTTGGGTTCTCGAGTGTGCGAAATACAAATTGTTTCCTCTCGTGAATTCATGAATCAAATGGCTTATCGGAGTGGAGAAATGGTAAATTCGTGCATATATTAGTGGCCTCTACTATTACATTTAATTAAATAGTGATGTCTCGGGTGATCATCATTTCTTTAATGGGTCATCTATGGAGATCAGTGTTGCGGTGTGTAGCCCCAATTTTGGCCGTGAATTGGCCGCCGAAAAAGGCGCCGCCGAGGAAGAGGCAGCGAAACACATCTATCGCGATCGTTTTCCGTAATCTGGCTGGGTGATTCCCTCCATGGCGCAGCCACATTACATCGCGAGAGAATCCCATCGCGCGGTGATCAACGGCGCCGATTAATCACTGTTGGGAGTCATAAGTGTCGTTTCTAGTTTCCAAATTGTATAAATATTTCGGCAGAGTTTCTCTGCGTGTCCAGGTAAAATGCGGCCTTATCACGGCGGCTCACACAGCATTTATCACTGTGGCTTCTTTTCACTCCCTCCAGCTCTTGTATATCGACATTATATGGGCATGTATTAATCAAACGATACAACTTGATTAGCATAAACCGATGCTCCATTGCGCCGACCGCCTCTTGCCACCACCATCCCAGCGCGCAGAGCCCGCGCGCTCCCGGAGCCCCTCGGACTCTGTTCTGCGGGCCAAATTCGCACGCGGAGCAGCTCCACTTCGGAAGATGGCCAGAATGCCCGCGCGATGATATCCATCGATAAGCCACACTGATGGGAAGACTGTTTTTTCGCGCTCCTCTGCCTCTCTTTTTTTCGATTGTTTAACCTTCACCTGCTACACCAAAAACCAACTTTGAATAGTCGCGCGGTGTGTGAAAATGTGGCCCCCAGGAAAAAAAAGATGAAGAAGAAGTCAGTGAAAAAATGAGCACGTCACTAAGCACAGAAATCCCACAATTTACCGGTTTCTCGCTTCTTCGCAAAAAAGATTAATTCGACGTATATTTAAATTAATTATGCAATATTAATTAGTCTTATTGGCTCTCTTCTCTCTCACTCTCTGTCTGTGTCGCCATGAAAGGAAAATATCAAAATAGTCAATTGTGCAAAATTTTGCCGTTTGTCACCGTGGAAATACACACCGCGACACATTTACTGTTCCGCTTGGGAAAATTACAAATAACAGCGTCGTTGAGACAAATGGTTTATGTGCTATGAAGCACTTTTTTAACGTTTGGTTTAGATAGTTTCAATGTTGGTTTTTTCTTGGAGTGAATTTATTTACTTCGGTGTTTGAGCCCATTTTGCTCTTCTTTAACCATGGTAGAATCTTCTTAAGAAATGAATTGATTAATTTTCATGCTTTAATAACTAAAATTTGATCATTTTGGAGAGTCTAAAAGTTCCTTGTAAACATTTAGAAAATTTTAACTTACCTTTCAGAATCACAAAACATTTTTCATTCACTATCAAAACACCATTCAAACTTTGAACAAAGTGGATCAATAAATGTGTTCTGTGATGTGGAAAAATACAGATTTTGGGATTGAGAAGTCCATGTCTCTGATTATGTGTGTAAAATTATTTTTTATTCACTTTTCCTCATATTTTTTTCTTCAAGATATCTTAAAATGTATTTACAAAAGAAAAATTTATTACATAATTTATGTATCAGTTGACATTTTACTCACTTGTCAATCTTCTCTTCCACTTCAATTACTATTACCTAGTGGTAGACATTACAAAAGAAAAAAAAAATTAATGATACATTTATGCATATCCTGACAAATGAACCTCCTTATCTTATCAGAGAAGTAATAAAATTAAAAAGTATCCAACAAGTAAGATTAAAGTACGAAGAAATGTCTATGTATAAAAATAATACAAAAATTCAATAGTTTGTGCATCTATTTTTTAACTTGAGGCTGAAGATCTTCTGCGATCTCTGTATTTATAGTAGTTCGTTTTGTAAAAACAAAAAACATATTTCACTATTGAGGACTATTTCTTCCCTCTGAAATGACTTTGATGCGAAAATTCACTGGATTTTTGTAAGCCGAAAGCTGGCAGTTGAAACTGGATCGAAAGAAGAAATATTACAGAAGTGACTGGAATTCTCTCAAAATCATCTCAAATGGTCACAGACTTGATTGCTATCGTTTGTATAGTTGCTCTCACTGAGATATCCGGCTTTGTAGTTCATTTCTTCGGTGTCATCCCCCTTAAAATCCCCGCCCGAGTGGGCGCTCTTTAAGTAACTAAAAGGTCTCTCTATAAGTTATTCAAGTAGATTTTAACTAGAGTACTTCTATTTATTCTTTATGCAACTTTATACACATTTCTCTCTTTACCATTTTTTCATAAATTGTCATTGTTTCATTTCATCATTAACTACTTATTACATTATGTAAGAATATCTTTAAACCACATGAAAATTTGCAACTTGCTCAAGGATTTTCCTGGCAAATTCCCTTCTTATCATCTACGTTTCTGATGCCACGTGTTTCCGGGGAGAGGATTCTCCCTAAATCTACATTATTCACTCACTCTTCTTGTCCTTTTTCTGCCTGGTAAGAAAATACAGGATTTGTAGCTTAACGTCTCACTAGTTGCGGCCGCGCGACGCGTCGGAAGGAGCCTCCGACGGCGCGGCGCGCGTCCTGGGCTGTCTCTGAAATTCAATTGAGGGGTTTTGGTTCCTTGGCTCCGTGTCCGTGCGATCGAGCACTCTGAGATCGCCACCGTCTCTCGCGCAATTCGAGGCTTTGTCTTGGGGATCGTGAAATGCACAGCATTTACCCGTGTCGCGGCGGGGAGAATCACCACGTGGCGGCCAGCCGGCGCTACTGGCCCTTGTCCTTGCCCACGCCCACGCCAATGCCCAGCAAGTGCTCGCCGCTCATCAGGCCGGCCGGGCCGCCGGGCTGGTGCGCGTAGTTGCGGATCTGGTGCAGCGAGATGAGCTGGTTGGGGAAGGAGGCGCCCGCGTTCTGGTTCACGTTCTTGTTCTGGAAGCTGATGGCGTCGTATATGTACGGGCGCTGCGCCAGCTGATGGTGGTGGCCCAGCGAGTTGAGGTGCGGCGTCATGGAGTTGATGGGCGTGAAGGCGGAATTGCTGGTCGTCTTGACGTCGTAGCTGGCGGGCGCCGCGGATGGCGTGGAGGCGGCGGGTGGGTTCTGGGCAATGTGGCTTCCGCCACTGCTGCCGCTCGTGGCGAGATTGGCGGCGCCCTGGCGGCTGGCTATCACGAGATCCTCCCCGTCCTCGGTGGTCCCATTGAGGCTCCTGTGGTGCTCCAGTAGCGCCCGATGGTGCAGGTGGTCGCCGGCGCCGCTCGCCGCCGCGTGCTGCATGGCAAAGTCGTACTGGTTCTGCTGTTGCTGCTGCATCGCCTCGGCCAGACTGGCCGCCGAGTCGGGGCTCACCTTCGGCCAGTACGGGTGGTCTGTGGCCGTGGCGGCCACGGTGAGCGGTGTGTTGGACATGGCGGAGGCCAGGTTGCGGTTGAGGCCCAGGCTCGCCAGGCCCGCGATCGGCGGCCGCTTGTCCGTCCGCTCGGCATGCTTCTGCATGTGCTTGGAGAGGTAGGTCTCCTGCGTGTAGGACTTGCCGCAGTACTGGCAGATGTGGGTCTTGAGGTGCTTGGACTCCTTGTGCTTGGGGATGTGCTCCAGCAGCGACGGCTCGTCCGAGAAGCACTTGTAGCAGGAGTTGCACTTGTAGGGCTTGTCCGTCTGGTGGCAGCGCGAGTGCGACTGCAGGTTGCTGAGCTGCGAGAAGGCCTTCTGGCAGCCCGGGTGGCGGCACTTGTACGGCTTGTCGCCCGTGTGCGTCCGGATGTGCTGCTGCAGGTGCGAGAGCTGCGTGAACTTGCGCTGGCAGATCTCGCAGCGGTACGGCTTGATGCCCAGGTGGATGCGGGTGTGCTGGGACAAGTAGCTCGAGTTGGCGAACGCCTTCGAGCACTGCGAGCACTTGTACGGCTTCGCCTCACGCATGTGAATCTGCGTGTGCAGCTGCAGGTCCGCCTTGGAGCTGAAGATCTGCAAGGAGAGAGAGAACGCCGTGTTATTAATCACGAGTTGTCCAATTGCCTGCAATTGCGGGGTGGCTTCAGTGCGGCGCCGAAGAGATAGCTGGTGAGAGAGCGAGCCCTCCCCTGTCTTTCGCACATTCTCCCGCCATAAATAACGATCTGTGGGCCGATCCAGACTTATCCTTAATCTCTGAGACAGCTCAACTCATTTATATTCAGTGTGTATGTACAAAAATTAGGAGCTGGGCAAAATATCAGCACTTGGATCGCAATGATCTTGGAAAACTGTTGCAAAATACAACAACTGAAGTTCAATACACCTCCTTTAGAGGTGTTATATAGTCTAAAATATATTTTAATATTAAAACAAAGACTGAATATGCAGCAATTTCAACAATATCCTACCGCAAAAATTTACTCTGCTGCTTCTATTAAAACCCATAAAACCTAAAAGGCAACCAATGCAATTTGGTGAAATTCCATAAGTAATATTTGTAATGACTGAAAAATAAATATTGCAAGATCAATAATAATAATTCAAATTGCTTCCCTCCTCTGTAGAATCGCCCATTTACCGCCTCATCCTTCACCATGTTAATGAAATACAATTAAGAGGAAGTGAGGATGAAATATATCGATAAACTAATCTGCCTGTAAATTAGAAACTTTGGCGATGAATGGCAAATTTCTGCGCTGTGCCTGATGATTCTTAAGCACCAAGAAATTAATTAAGACGCGAGAGTGTGTGGGAAATGGTGAAAATTATGACATTTCCGTCAATCGCAGCCTCTCTTGAGTCTCTCCCAAATCACCTCTTCCTCAACTCGCGCTGCGACATTCATTAAGATTTTCATTGTGATTGCCTATGCTTGTCCCAAAGTGTCAAAGATACTCAAACACTTGACAGTGGGCTCGAGTGGTCAGAAGAGCTTTGTGTGTTGAAATTGCGGAGATTTGATCGATTCGCCCGTACATAAATTATACAGAATGCATTTCATTATGGACGGCTTTTCGGCAGTGTTGCGTAAGGTTTTTTGATTTCATGCGCCTCCCAGTTGGGGTTTTTATGTAACCACCCGCCCCGATAGCCATCACGACCGACCGTGTGTGTGCAGAAAAGTCTCCCCGATCGTCCGTGTGCACGTGAGAAGCCCTCGAGGAGCAGAGCAGTTCCACTCGAGATTCTCCGCTGTGGCAGGAATTATGCAAATTCTCACCGGAAAGCGGCATTTATATTCAAATTCACTGGCATTTTTGGCGCTTTTCTAATGATCGCTCAACAAGTATTACCTCTTCCCATATGGAAATTGGTCTTCATCCACAAATGTCATCGAGATTTCTGTGTGAACAACTTCTTTCTCCTCAACTCGACGCGATTTTATGGAAATTATTTATCAAGCCCATTCTGTATGGCAGCCCAATAAGGTATTGATGAGACGAAATTGTCCATTAAAGCATCTGCTTCTGGTAATTGATTCTGATGATTCCCATTGGTTTTAGTGTCAATTTATTTGCCATTAAGGAGTAGAAGATTTTTCTCAATAAATATGGGTATTATAATTGTCGCTAATCTGCCAGAGGGAAAAGAACAATTTTTTGGCACATGATTAGTCACATTCAATGGAACTGCTTTTGCACATGACAGGAATGAAGCGGTCTTTTGTGCGGAAATTTGATTTATAATGACTCTATTCCACGGGACTTTGTAAGCCGCGTCGAAATGTTGATTTTGGACTTTTTGAATATCAATAGGATTTTCACTTTATTGTGATGAAATATTTCGTGTTTGGGATCTTGAAATATGAGAATATTTTTTAGACAAAATTGACCAATTTGGCGAAGAAGTCAAAGGCCGATTTCTCGAAAGTAGACCAAAATCAGTCATTTTTCTTCTTAAGGAATGCCAAGAGTTTCCTTTCCTTTCTCATTGCCCGAGAATGCGTGCAATTGCAGGGCGTGTTTCACCCTCGACGCACTCCTAATCACGACTTTGCCAGGCAATTTTAACCGCACAATTGCGAGGCAAAATAAGGAAGTCCAAGTGGAGTTCTATTCATCTATTAGCAAACAATTAATCTCGCGCTCAATGTTTCTTTCCTCCTTGTCCAAATTTGGTGGTGGATTGTCATCGAATTCATTTACGCACAAGAGTGATTTGTGAATAATGCTGATTGTGTTGATACATTGTGTGCCCAACTCGGATATTTGGCTCTCTCTCGCTCTCTTGTGGGAGATCTCGCGGGCGGGCGCGAGGTGGAGGGCAGTGCAAGAACTGTGAGAGTTGGCCAGCGCGCGACTTGTTGAAATAACCTTCTGTCAAGGAGAATTCATCAATCAATCAAAGTTAAGCATTTAAAATGCTTGGTGATTATTAAAAATTTTCTCTGCCTCAGACAGATAGTCACACACATAATATTTTGTGGCGCGGAGAATCTTGTGTAATTTCATGTATTTTGCCCCGAGAAGAAGGTTTCACGGAGGGAATATTTTCAGGAATAAATCGCAAATTTCCTTCTAAAAATTTCAACATTACGCGAGCCAGAGTGACGCGACGACTTTGAATTGCAAATTCGAGGCATGGACAGCATGCAAATCCCTCACGGAATTATAATTGCCAAAAAGCATTTCGCAGAGATTTTGAGAAAATTTGCAACAACAGAGTCTTTAGGAGTGAGTTTCTTTTTGACAAGAGAGAGATTGTGAGCTTTTGTTACACCCTTAAAATAGAATAAGAATTAGTGAAAGACATTAATCGATAACAATGTGTATACAATTTACACTCTTTCTCAGTGGCATAAAGCGAGATTTCCAACATTTTTGCTCCTTTATTGTCAAACAACGTATATTTCCAAATTTTATTCAAATCTACTGCTTTTGTGACTCACTAATTACAAGTGAGAATAATTTGAGAAAGTCACTCAGACTCGCCAGTCAAATTTATTTGCTCTTATTGCTCCAGCACAGAGAGACACAATGTGAAAAAAACGAAACATTGAATTTCGTTATAAATTATGCATAATATAAAATTAATTCAAGTTTATTCGTCTCATGATGGATTGTGCGATACACCCGAATATTTTTTACATGATGATCGATACGCCTAATTTGAATTGCTATTGAAAACTTTTGTGATACGCATAATTAAGTGGTGAGTGAAAATGATCTGTGGGCCTATTCAGCAATTCGGCAATCCTGGCCGGATACTCAACTCTGGCCGAATAAATTGCATTGTCCTCGGCGTGATCGCCAAGTGATCTACTTCTGAGGATCACGCTTTCTTTCAAAAACCGCTCAATCTCATCGATAAATCTCGCGTACACCTGCTTCGCGCTGCCCATGTACAATTGTGAATGTCTTTTTTGTCCAATTGTTGGCATACAGAGTGGTTGTGAAAACAAACTACCAATATGCGATCGGCGAAAGAGAGTACACGCCGGAGAGTGCGCGGCGAGATTGGGGGAAAGGGAGGCGTATTGTGAGCAGTTGGGATAGGAGATCGAGAAAAATCAGTTATATTCGATGATGTGATTTCTATTTGCTGATTGTTTGGTGAACGTAAATGTCTAATATTTAATTTAAAAATGCTAAAGTCAACAATTTATTAACAGAATTTTTTATGCATGTTCTCTTCACACAACTTGTTCATTATTCCACAGTCGTTTTTCACCGTGGATCTCCTCTCGTCTGTGTTATTTTTTCTGCTCTTTCACCTCAACTGTCTTCACCTGTGTGTGGGTCTCAGCACTATAGTGCTCTCGGCCCGGAGGAGCCCCCCGCCATCCCCATGCCGCAAGTGCGCGATGGGGCCTCCTTGTGGGTTCTCCATTGGCTGTTTGATGTTGTCTTTTGTCAAATTTGTGAAGAAGCTACTGCATTTTTCTCCAACAACACAAGGGACAAAACTAGACAAATTTACATACACATTTGTTAGTTAATCAATTTTTGTTGATTTATGCAAATATTTTCACGACGCACGACACTGCCTCCCCTCCGCCCCACTCGCACCCGCTGAAAATCCGGATCCGCGCCAAGAAGCAGCCAAGTGAGGAGGATCGCCCCAGACAAATTGCTACCGGATTCACTGCGCTCACGATCATGCCTGTCAAAATCATATCTGGCGCGATGCACCCAAAAGGTGCAAAAACACAACAGTGTGTAACTTCATTAATAATAATGAGAAACTTATCATCTTGCGGTGAATTCACAGGTGAAAATTAAATTACAGCAAATTTCTACGTGCTAACATCACGCAGAAAGAGTCGTCACTCTTACGCAATGCCCAGTCTTTATTTTTTCCACCGAGTCGCACAATACAAAATAACATAACTGACCGCACTAAATGTTTTAATCTTTGTCGGTTTCCAACAAATTTCTCGAACACGGACAACACAAGGGAAGGAGAGGCTCGTGACATTGGTGTACGCTACAGTGTCATCGCGGCTTTTCACCAGAATGCAGAGATCATTTCCACAAGGATTCATTTGTAAGAAGTTAGATTCCGGTAAATAAAGAATAGTGTATTTTGTAGAAGAGTTTTGATATTAATGAGGCTCCCAAGAAGAACAGTATTGTCAAGTGTGGTGTACCACATTGCGTTGAACTTTCGTCACCCTTCTCAGGCTCATCATCTCGCGAGGTGTTTGAGGAAAAAACCCGGAGCGCGAGAGACAATCACCCATATAAATAAGAGGCGAGAAAGACCAGAGTTGTGCATAAATTTCTTAAAATCATTATAATTTGTCATCAATTGATTCCCTCATCGGGAAAATGATATTAAAAGGCATCATAAAATCAAATCAATGGCCCTCTTCGGAACACGAAAATATTCCTTCAGTGACGAATCGCAACATTAACGAGTTGCCGTTAATTTTAATGGACACGTTTTTCGGCATTGGGTGTCTTCTCGCCTGGGTATTAATAATGGAGTAAAAATTTTTAGGAGTGAAATGCCAATTGGACAGATAACTTCTTCTTCGTCATCCTTTCTCCACCTTCGCGACGTGGGCC